CTTGTCTCCTCCTGCCCTCCTCTTGTGTCTCCTCCTGCCCTCCTCTTGTGTCTCCTCCCTCCTCTTGTGTCTCCTCCTGCCCCTCCTCCCTCTCCTCCTGCCCTCCTCTTGTCTCCTCCTGCCTCTTGTCTCCTCCTGCCTCCTCTGTCCTCCTGCCCCTCCTCTTGTGCTCCTCCTGCCCCTCCTTGTCTCCTCCTCCTCCTCCTCCCCTGCCTTCTCCCTCCTTTGTGTCTCTCCTCCTTGCCCTCCTCCTGCCCTCCTCCTGCCTCTCTCTTGTGTCTCCTCCTGCCCTCTTCTCCTCTTGTGTCTCCTCCTGCCTCCTCCTTGTCTCGTGTCTCCTGCCCCTCCTTGTGTCTCCTCTTGTCCTCTGCCCTCCTCTTGTGTCTCCTCCTGCCTCCTCTTGTGTCTCCTTCTTCCTCTTGGCTTCCTCTCCTCTTGTGTCTCCTCCTGCCCCTCTCTTGTGTCTCCTCCTGCCCCTCCTCTTGTCTCCTCTTCAATTATCAAGACGGAATAAACAGGAAAATAATAGAGATAAGTGAGGGATAAACAGGATAATGTGAGTATGTTGTTCTTTGCTGGATTGTGTCCACACACACACACACACACACTTTTTGTGATACTGAAATTAATTTATTTCAGTTTGATGTAAGCATCCTGTGCTGTACCTGAAGTGTTGGGTTAGACGATACGTTTGGTTGGATGGGTTGGGGTTTGGTGAGTGAAGTTGGTAGTAGTAGGTTAAGGCTTGGATTGCATTTGTTTGTTTCATTAGGTTAGGCTTAAGTACATTATGTGTTATTTGTTAAATGTCTGTAAATTTTTTTGTTTTGATTTATTTATCTTCATGTTTGTGGAATGTTTATTTTATTACCTGTCTATACATGCTGTCCTTCTCTCAGTAGGTTAGTTTTGTTGGGTACACATATATTATTCTCTGTGCTGGCTTATATTCATTGTGTGACGTTGTGAACAGGACCATCTGTGTATCTACCTGACCTGGTTGTGGCAGGCCATCAGTGGCACTCTTCCTTTGGCCCGGGTTGTGGCTGGACCATCAGGCAGCATCACACTAGGCTTCTTGACCTGGGGGTATGGCTTCTCATTCTTTGCTATTTCTGTTTTGGATTTGTAGGCAGGACTATAAGGCAGCATCTTTATTTATTTGGTATTGAAACCATCAGGCAGCATCTGCTAGGCTACCTGGCTGAGGCTTGGGCAGGACCATGAGGCAGCATCACTAACTACCTGACATTTGATAAGACCATAAACAACTTTATGAGCAGGACTCAATGCTTGATCACACTGGCTTTCCTGACACTTTGAAGGTTGTGAGCAGGACCATCAGGCAGCATCACACTAGGCTACCTGACAGTTGTGAGCAGGACCATCAGGCAGCATCACACTGGCTACCTGACCCAGTTGTGAGCAGGACCATGAGACAGCATCACACTGAGCTACCTGACCCGGGTTGTGAACAGGACCATCAGGCAGCATCACACTAGACTACCTGACCCGGAGTTGTAGACAGGACCATCAGACAGCATCACACTAGGCTACCTGACGGAGTTGTGAGACAGGACCATCAGGCAGCATCACACTAGGCTACCTGACCCGGAGTTGTGAGCAGGACCATCAGGGCAGCATCACACTAGGCTACCTGACGGAGTTGTGAACAGGACCATCAGGCAGCATCACACTAGGCTACCTGACGGAGTTGTGAACAGGACCATCAGGCAGCATCACACTAGACTACCTGACCCGGAGTTGTGAACAGGACCATCAGGCAGCATCACACTAGGCTACCTGACCCGGTTGTGAACAGGACCATCAGGCAGCATCACACTAGGCTACCTGACCCGGAGTTGTGAGCAGGACCATCAGACAGCATCACACTAGGCTTCCTGACCGGAGTTGTGAACAGGACCATCAGGCAGCATCACACTAGGCTACCTGACCCGGAGTTGTGAGCAGGACCATCAGGCAGCATCACACTAGACTACTGACCCGGAGTTGTGAACAGGACCATCAGGCAGCATCACACTAGGCTACCTGACCCGGAGTTGTGAACAGGACCATCAGACAGCATCACACTAGGCTACCTGACCCGGGTTGTGACAGGACCATCAGGCAGCATCACACTTGGTACCTGACCCGGAGTTGTGAACAGGACCATCAGACAGCATCACACTAGGCTACCTGACCCGGAGTTGTGAGCAGGACCATCGGCAGCATCACACTAGGCTACCTGACCCGGAGTTGTGAACAGGACCATCAGACAGCATCACACTAGGCTACCTGACCCGGAGTTGTGAACAGGACCATCAGGCAGCATCACACTAGGCTACCTGACCCGGGTTGTGAGACAGGACCATCAGGCACAGCATCACACTAGGCTACCTGACCCGGAGTTGTGAACAGGACCATCAGGCAGCATCACACTGGCTACCTGACCCGGAGTTGTGAGCAGGACCATCAGGCAGCATCACACTAGGCTACCTGACCCGGAGTTGTGAGCAGGACCATCAGGCAGCATCACACTAGGCTACCTGACCCGGGTTGTGAACAGGACCATCAGGCAGCATCACACCAGGCTACCTGACCGGAGTTGTGACAGGACCATCAGGCAGCATCACACTAGGCTACCTGACCCGGAGTTGTGAGCAGGACCATCAGGCAGCATCACACTAGGCTACCTGACCCGGAGTTGTGAGACAGGACCATCAGGCAGCATCACACTAGGCTACCTGACCCGGAGTTGTGAACAGGACCATCAGGCAGCATCACACTAGGCTACCTGACCCTGAGTTGTGAACAGGACCATCAGGCAGCATCACACTAGGCTACCTGACCCGGTTGTGAACAGGACCATCAGACAGCATCACACTAGGCTACCTGACCCGGAGTTGTGAGCAGGACCATCAGGCAGCATCACACTAGGCTACCTGACCCGGAGTTGTGAGCAGGACCATCAGGCAGCATCACACTAGGCTTCTGACCCGGGTTGTGAACAGGACCATCAGGCAGCATCACACTCGGCTACCTGACCCGGAGTTGTGAGCAGGACCATCAGACAGCATCACACTAGGCTACCTGACCCGGAGTTGTGAGCAGGACCATCAGGCAGCATCACACTAGGCTACCTGACCCGGAGTTGTTTACCTGGACTGGTTATCGTATATCACAGTCTCCGTTATCTTATTATTTGTTCGCTATTTAGAATATAATCTCCAGGTAAATCAGCGAGTTCATGTTTTTGTTTCTAACCGTTTATTGTTTTAATATATTGATATTATTAACTTTGCTTCCTATCTATGAGTTACAGTGTGTGTGTGTGGGTAATAATAATAATAATAATAATAATACAGTAATAATATTAATATAATGAATAACATTTCTAACTTACCATATGATTAACCTGTCATTATTATTTATTATTAATTATTATTATTATTATTATTACAAAGAGTTAAATTATACAAGACAATTATTTTCATCAAGTGTGAGCTGAGACACACGCCAGGAATCTGTTATTATTACAACACCTGTGTTGTAGTCCTGGGTTGTGAGTACAGTGTGTTTGTAGTCCGGGGTTGTGAGTACAGTGTGTTGTAGTCGGGGTTGTGAGTACAGTGTGTTGTAGTCGGGTTGTGAGTACAGTGTGTTGTAGTCGGGTTGTGAGTACAGTGTGTTGTAGTCCGGGGTTGTGAATGTGTTGTAGTCGTTGTGAGTACAGTGTGTTGTAGTCCGGGGTTGAGTACAGTGTGTTGTAGTCGGGGTTGTGAGAGTGTGTTGTAGTCGGGGTTGTGGTACAGTGTGTTGTAGTCCGGGGTTGTGAGTACAGTGTGTTGTAGTCAGGGTTGTGAGTACAGTGTGTTGTAGTCCGGGTTGTGAGTACAGTGTGTTGTAGTCGGGGTTGTGAGTACAGTGTGTTGTAGTCCGGGTTGTAGTACAGTGTGTTGTAGTCAGGGGTTGTGAGTACAGTGTGTTGTAGTCGGGGTTGTGAGTACAGTGTGTTGTAGTCCGGGGTTGTGGTACAGTGTGTTGTAGTCCGGGTTTGTGAGTACAGTGTGTTGTAGTCCGGGTTGTGAGTACAGTGTGTTGTAGTCCGGGTTGTAGTACAGTGTGTTGTAGTCCGGGTTGTGAGTACAGTGTGTTGTAGTCAGGGTTGTGAGTACAGTGTGTTGTAGTCGGGGTTGTGGGTACAGTGTGTTTGTAGTCAGGGGTTGTGAGTACAGTGTGTTGTAGTCCGGGGTTGTGAGTGATAGAGTGAGGTGGTGAATGTTTGTGTTGGTGCTGGTGATAGTTTGTGTGTCCAGTGTGATGGTGGTGGGGACTGGGAGTGTGTTGTTGGTGGAGGTAGGTGTTGGTGGAGGTAGGTGTTGGTGGTGATAGGGGTGTTGGTGGTGATAGGGGTGTTGGTGGTGATGGGGTGTTGGTGGTGATGGTGTGTTGCTGGTGTGGGTGATGGTGGTGATAGGGGTGTTGGTGGTGATAGGGGGTGTTGGTGGTGATAGGGGGTGTTGGTGGTGATGGTGTGTTGCTGGTGTGGGTGATGGTGGTGATAGGGGTGTTGGTGGTGATAGGGGTGTTGGTGGTGATAGGGGTGTTGGTGGTGATGGTGTGTTGCTGGTGTGGGTGTTGGTGGTGATGGTGTTGGTGGTGGGGGGGTGTTGGTGGTGATAGGGGTGTTGGTGGTGATAGGGGTGTTGGTGGTGATGGAGGTGTTGGTGGTGATAGGGGGTGTTGGTGGTGATAGGGGTGTTGGTGGTGATAGGGGTGTTGGTGGTGATAGGGTGTTGCTGGTGTGGGTGTGGTGGGTGATAGGGGTGTTGGTGGTGATAGGGGTGTTGCTGGTGTGGGTGTTGGTGGTGATAGGGGTGTTGATGGTGATAGGGGTGTTGGTGGTGATAGTGTTTGGGTGTTGGTGGTGATAGGGGGTGTTGGTGGTGATGTAAGGTCATAACCTAACTTAACCGTGTACTGTCCTCTTCCTCCCTCAGGCATCGGTATTGACTCGACTACCGAAGGCGTGACCTTGGTGAAGCAGACAGGTAAGGTCAAGTGCCTGCGAGACAAGATCGAGGCCCAGAAGGATACCTTAGACTTTGACCGGGAACTGAACATCCACATTGGTATTGCTCACACCCGCTGGGCCACTCACGGTGTGCCCTCCGACATTAACTCTCATCCCCAGCGGTCTGATGAGCTCAACGAGTTTGTTGTCGTGCATAATGGTATGTATCTCTCTCTCTCTCTCTCTCTCTCTCTCTCTCTCTCTCTCTCTCTCTCTCTCTCTCTCATTATAGTAGTCCTGCTTGATATAGTTTTCTGCTTTAAGGAGAAAATAACATTCATTATACATAATTAAAGCGACTCGCTATACACATTGTTTGTATACCTTCAGTGTTTCTCCCTGCCACCCTTCCTGCCACCCTCCCCTCTCTCCCCTGCCACCCCTTCCTCCCCCCTTCCTACCCTTCCTGCCACCCTTCCTGCCACCCTTCCTGCCACCCTTCCTCACTCTACCCTCCCTGCCACCCTTCCTCCCACTCTCCCTGTCACCCCTCCCTGCCACCCTTCCTCACTCTCCCTGCCACCCTTCCTGCCATCCTTCCTCACTCTGCCCTTCCTGCTACCCTTCCTCACTCTCTTCCTGCCACCCTTCCTCACTCTCCCCTTCCTGCCACCCTTCCTCACTCTCCCTACCCCCTTCCTCACTCTCCTCCCTTCCCTTCCTGCCACACCCTTCCTTCCTCTCCCTTCCTGCCACCCTTCCTGCCACCCTTCCTCACTCTACCCTTCCCGCCACCTTCCCTCCTCTGCCCTTCCCACCCTTCCTCACTCTCCCCTGCCACCCTTCCTCCCACCCTTCCTCACTCTACCCTTCCTGCCACCCTTCCTCCTCTCTCCCTGCCACCCTTCCTGCCACCCTTCTGCCTCCCCTTCCTCACTCTACCCTTCACCACCCTTCCTCACCCTTCCTGCCACCCTACCTGCCACCTTTCCATCACCACCACCCTTTTTATACTCTGACAGGCATTATCACCATCACCACTATTATCACCATCACCACCATTATCACCATCACCACCATTATCACCATCACCACCACCACCATCATCACCACTATCACCACCATCTTTTTACTCTGACAGGCATTATCACCATCACCACTATTATCCCATCACACCATTATCACCATCACCACCATCATCACCACTACCACCACTATCACCACCACCATCACCACCACCATCTGCCACTATCACCACCATCTTTTATACCTGACAGGCATTATCACCATCACCACTATTATCACCATCACCACCATTATCACCATCACCACCATTATCACCATCACCACCATCATCACCACCACCATCACCACCACTATCACCACCATCTTTACTCTGACAGGCATTATCACCATCACTATTCACCATCACCACCATTATCACCATCACCACCATCATCACCACTACCACCACTATCACCACCACCACCATCAACCACCATCATCACCACTATCACCACCATCTTTTATACTCTGACAGGCATTATCACCATCACCACCATTATCACCATCACCACCATCATCACCACTACCACCACTATCACCACCACCATCACCACCATCATCACCACTATCACCACCATCTTTTATACTCTGACAGGCATTATCACCATCACCACTATTATCACCATCACCACCATCATCACCACTATCACCACCACCACCATCATCACCACCATCATCACCACCACTATCACCACCATCCTTTATGCTCTGGCAGGCATCATCACCAACTATAAGGATGTGAAACAGTTCCTCATCCGGAAGGGCCACAAGTTTGAGTCGGACACAGACACTGAGATCATCGCCAAGTTGATCAAGCACCTCCACACCCTCCACCCCTCCTACTCCTTCAGGGAACTGGTGGAGCAGGTTATCCAACAGCTGGTGAGTACTATACTGTATAGCTCAGGCTCTCAACTCACCAGTGCAAGTTGTTCACGGTTGCTGAGTGAATGTTCTCAGGGCGAGGGGTGAATGTGTCCTCAGTTTGTGACTCTGAGTACAGTATTGTCAGGACAGAACTAACGTTATCCTCCTCACTGGCTACCGACCGATGTTATGTGAAACTGGAAGTTTTTTGTATTGTGATTTCTGACAAAGGCTGGGGAGAGGAGACGGGGTCAGGATCACTAGAGGTTCCTACATGTTCTTCCTTGACGTCGGATGTAAAAGCCAATTTTGTCACCAATTCAGACCAAATATTTTAATGATTTTCCGGCTAGATGTTTCCTCACTTTCTCAAGCATAAACATTTATTGAGGAACAGTATTTTAAAAGATAACATACGTTAATAATGTCTTCTAACTGGTGATTATGGACGTTAATCTGTGAGGTTTATTTATGGCACGTCCCTCTTAATGGGTCCTTCATCATCAGTCATGTGGAATATAAATGTTGATATTCTTTATGAGTACTTGGACCATTATTATTTATTATATACATGAACGACATAGATATCGGCATAGACAGCAACATAAGTAAATTTGCTGATGACACTAAAATAGGACGTGTAATTAAATCTGATGAGGACTCCACAAAACTACAGGAAGATCTAAACAAATTTTTCGAATGGTCGGAAAAATGGCAGATGAAATTCAATGTAGACAAATGTAAAGTACTCAGTATAGGAGATGTAAACAGGGAAACCAGATACCAAATGAACAACGATGCCACTGTGGAATCCGACTGTGAGAGAGATTTAGGAGTAATGATAAGTAGGAATCTTAAGCCAAGTAAACAATGTGTTTGTGCTCGCAACAAGGCTAATAAAATACTTGGGTTAATACAAAGGAGTGTTAGTTACAAGACTAGCGAGGTCATCTTAAAATTATATCTTGCGCTTGTGAGACCTCACTTGGATTATGCAGTTCAGTTCTGGTCACCGTATTACAGAATGGATATAGAATCCTTGGAAAGAATCCAGAGGAGAATGACAAGACTAATCCCGGGCATTAGGAACCTTGAGTATAGAGACAGGTTAAAGCATCTTAATTTGCACTCCCTCGAGAGACATGGAGCGAGGGGCGACTTGATAGAGGTGTATAAATGGAAGTCAGGGTTAAACAAAGGGGACATTACAAAGGTACTCAAACTATCCAACCAGGAGCGAACTCGTAACAATGGTTTTAAAATAAACAAAATTAGATTTCGGCGTGAAATAGGTAAACACTGGTTTGGAAACAGAGTAGTGGATGAATGGAACAAGTTACCAAATATCATCATTAACTCGCATACGCTGTATAGCTTCAAACATAGGTTGGATGCTTATATGAGCAATAGGGGTTGGGTATAAACGGGACTGCCCAGTATGGGTCAATAGGCCCACTGCAGTTTCCGCCATTCTTATGTTCTTCCCGGGTCTTGTAGAGGCAGGACACAGTTGCCAACATGAGTGTAAATAAGTTCATTAATAATAATGCTGCCAAACTTGTTCTGATTACACGAAACGTAACACATTTAAACAAAGGTTATGAAACTGATCATGTGTGTGTGCAGCAACAAATGAAGCAGTATTGGTGTACAGTAGTAATAAACCACTTAATGTGCGCTACAGTTAGCCACATTCGTATTAAGAAGCCAATGGCCGATATAGCAGTGTTGCCCTCTTAATTTATACAGATGTTGATAACTTGACACACTATCTACCTAAGTCGTTGGTATACTCAGTCAGCTAACTTTCTGTTGTACACGATATTTTCATTGACAAGGAATGTTGTATTTTGTCTTCAGAAAGTCTGTCCAGTATTATGGAAGGTTTTAAAAAGCTCTGGAGCCACCTCACACATCAAGCTGTCAACGGTGTCTGGACAAATATAGGATGAGAACTGGTTTGTAAATGTCCTAAACTGGTTCCCTGTGGCTGAGACGTACACAAGAGGTATACAGGGGCAAACGACGGCTCTGATTGGCTGAGGCATACAGATGCAAACGACGGCTTTGATTGGCTGAGGCATACAGATGCAAACGACGGCTCTGATTGGCTGAGGCATACAGGTGCAAACGACGGCTCTGATGGGCTACAGTATATTACGCCTTATGATGAAAACCAAAACGCGTCGTCCACTATAGACATCAACATTTTAAATAATATATTAACCCGCTTTCCATATAGTTTTAGGTTATATAAAACGAAAATTAAATGTTCGCCATCACTGCATTTTCCCATCACGATTCAGCCAATCAGACGCCGTTCCCTTAGTGTGGTGTACGTATGTGTGTTGTGGGGGAGGCATCAGTCAGTGTTGTGTCCTGGGGGCGTGATAGATGGAACAGTGGCGTGATAGACAGCGAGTAAGACCAGGAAAGAGAGGACATGTCAGAGCCAGGAGTGATGATAAGGAACACACCTGTCCCACGTACAGTTGAACACACCTGTCCCACGTACAGTTGAACACACCTGTCCCACGTACAGTTGAACACGCCTGTCCCACGTACAGTTGAACACACCTGTCCCACGTACAGTTGAACACGCCTGTCCCACGTACAGTTGAACACACCTGTCCCACGTACAGTTGAACACACCTGTCACGTACAGTTGAACACACCTGTCCACGTACAGTTGAACACGCCTGTCCCACGTACAGTTGAACACACCTGTCCCAACAGTTGAACACACCTGTCCACGTACAGTTGAACAGTTGAACACGCCTGTCCACGTACAGTGAACACACCTGTCCCACGTACACACGCCTGTCCCACGTGAAGCTGAACACCTGTCCACGTACAGTTGAACACACCCTGTCCCACGTACAGTTGAACACGTCCCACGTACAAAGTTGAACACACCTGTCCCACGTACAGTTGAACACGCCTGTCCACGCAGCTGAAGACACCTGTCCACGTACAGTTGAACACACCTGTCCCACGTACAGTTGAACACGCCTGTCCCACGTACAGTTGAACACACCTGTCCCACGTACAGTTGAACACACCTGTCCCACACAGTGAAAACAACTGTGCCACACAGTGAAAACAACTGTACCACACAGTGAAAACAACTGTGCCACACAGTGAAAACAACTGTACCACACAGTGAAAACAACTGTACCACACAGTGAAAACAACTGTGCCACACAGTGAAAACAACTGTACCACACAGTGAAAACAACTGTGCCACACAGTGAAAACAACTGTGCCACACGTGTGCACTCCAAAATGCTTCTCATCTCCTTTACAATGGAAGTGTTATATAGTGAAGCACTGTACTGTACACCTAACCTGTCGTCCACCTTCACTAGTGGTGTTATAGTGAAGCACTGTACTGTACACCTGACCTGTCGTCCACCTTCACTCAGTGGTGTTATAGTGAAGCTACACCGTACCGTACACCTAACCTACCGTCCACCTTTCACTAGTGGTGTTATAGTGAAGCACTGTACTGTACACCTGACCTGTCGTCCACCTTTCACTAGTGGTGTTATAGTGAAGCACTGTACTGTACACCTAACCTGTCGTCCACCTTCACTAGTGGTGTTATAGTGAGGCACTGTACTCACACCTACCTGTCGTCCACCACCACTAGTGGTGTTATAGTGAGGCACTGTACTGTACACCTAACTCCATCGTCCACCTTCACTAGTGGTGTTATAGTGAAGCACTGTACTGTACACCTTGACCTGTCGTCCACCTTCACTAGTGGTGTTATAGTGAAGCACTGTACTGTACACCTAACCTGTCGTCACCTTCACTAGTGGTGTTATAGTGAGGCACTCCTCCTGTACTGTACACCTAACTGGTCGTCCACCTTCACTAGTGGTGCTATAGTGAAGCACTGTACTGTACACCTAACCTGTCGTCCACCTTCACTAGTGGTGTTATAGTGAGGCACTGTACTGTACACCTAACCTGTCGTCCACCTTCACTAGTGGTGTTATAGTGAGGCACTGTACTGTACACCTGACCTGTCGTCCACCTTCACTAGTGGTGTTATCGTGAAGCACTGTACTGTACACCTAACCTGTCGTCCACCTTCACTAGTGGTGTTATAGTGAGGCACTGTACTGTACACCTGACCTGTCGTTCACCTTCACTAGTGGTGTTATAGTGAGGCACTGTACTGTACACCTAACCTGTCGTCCACCTTCACTAGTGGTGTTATAGTGAGGCACTGTACTGTACACCGTCACTAGTGGTCTCCACGCTGGCATCTTGTATGTGACCGGTTCATGGCTGGTGAGCGGTACATTTATTATATTATAGGTGAGTCAGAATAACAGCAGTCCAGTTGTAACAAGAGAAAGCTGATCATTTATACATTCACAACATTATTCAGAGTACTTTACCCCAAAGAAATTACTGATAAAACTACAGTAGGCCCATGCTAGCTGGTCAGCCATAACGATAAAATATTTATACAACTTTAAAAATTTCTTGAATATTAATATATGTTTGGTTAGTCTAGTGAGTTTAAGTAACACTGTATAATTTATTTTATATATGTTAGGAGTGTACCGGACGTTACTATGAACATGTTTATGGAGGTTGTGTGTGTGCAATACTTGTTATCTGACGTGGTTTTACACAATCTCCTCTGTACTGTGTAAAGGCAGAACTATTGTACAAGAATGTTGGTTAAATAAAGGTTTAGATCAATAAACACCATTGTCAGTACCTCCATTTGTCTCCCATAAAGCTACTACAGCAGTATTCAGACCCGTATGTTGCCAGGGGGAAGGTGCAGTCTCGCTCACCTGAAAGTGAAAACTCTTAAGAGAAAGTGAGAGTTAGAACTGTGTGGCTGGGCGGGTTCACCCTTCCCAGCCACACATGAACCATAAAATATACTGTAATCTTCAGTTTCCCTGACAGTTAGTTAGCAAGTGTTGGCTGCTTAGTTGTATTTGTGTTGTTTATAACTCTTTTGTTGTACTGTATATAATTGTTCATGATACTGTATATATATAAATGTGTGTGTGTGTGTGCATTTTTGGATCGTTTAGGATCTACTCTCACATAATTATTTATTTTTGGACTATGTTACCTAGTATAACCCACCTTCAACTGACATAATACAGTACAGTCTTACCTAAAAGTGTACAGTGTATTAACAGCTGGCTCAAAGACAGGCAACATAGAGTGGTAATAAATGGATTACAATGGAAAAAAGGTTCTCAGTGGAGTACCACAAGCATCTAGCCCTGGACCCATCTTGTTTGTGATCTACATAAATGACAAAGATGACAATGTATCAAGCCACATTTCCAAGTTTGCGGATGATACGATGGTATTTGGGAAGGTAGCAAGTCAAGACGATGTCGCAACAATACAGGAAGACCAGCATGAACTGTTGAAATGGTCTCGACTCAGGCAAATACTCCTTTACTTTTATTCTCTTTGCCACTGATCGGCTCGTTAGCCGCTTCTGCGGTCGGTCACGTCTGTTACACCCTGTTGGCAAGTACTGCTCCAGTGTTGGTCAAGTCTGGTCTTGAAAGAGCTCACACTCGGTTCACAATTCTCACTCCAAAAAAGTTTGCCCTCGCAGTTTTCTGGACTTGTGGCTTCTTCAACCTTGAGCTGTGACCCCTTGTGGGGCAAGCGTCTGCCAGCTCCAGGTAAGGACACTCGACAGAGTAGTGCCCCTTGAGATGTTTATACACCTCAATTAGGTCTCCCTTGCCCGTCTGTAGTATAAGCTAGGCAATTGCAGATGCTCTAATCTCCCTGGATAACTGAGGTTCCAAAGTGCCGGCACCAGTCTGGTGGGCGGTCCGACTAATTACCCAAATGTACCCAAATGTAGCCGCAATTAAGTCAAATAATGGTCCTACATGAATAAATCGGACTGCCAATCACTTCTCGACTAGTGTTTGGTGTCACAAAGTCACAAAAAATTGGAAAACTTACTTTAATCTGAGTTAATAGATCGCGTGCATGTACCGAGGGAGCGAGTAATTACCCAAATGTAGCCAAATGTAGCCGCAATGAAGTCAAATGATGGTCCTACAAGAATAAACCGAGCTGTGAATCACTTCTCGATTATTATTTGGTGTCACAAAGTCACAAAAAATTGGTAAACTTAATTTAATCTGAGTTGTGTTAGGTTAGGTTAGGTACATGCACTCGATCTATTAACTCAGATTAAATTAAGTTTACCAATTTTTTGTGACTTTGTGACACCAAATACCAGTCGAGAAGTGATTGGCAGTCCGATTTATTCTTGTAGGACCATCATTTGACTTCATTGCGGCTACATTTGGGTATATTTGGGTAATTACTCGCTCCCTCGGTACATGCACGCGATCTATTAACTCAGATTAAATTACGTTTTCCAATTTTTTGTGACTTTGTGACACCAAATACTAGTCGAGAAGTGATTGGCAGTCCGATTTATTCATGTAGGACCATTATTTGACTTAATTGTGGCTACATTTGGGTACATTTGGGTAATTAGTTGGACCCGTCTGGTGGCCCTCCTTTGGACATTTTCAATCAACTGACAGTCCCTAGCATATCTTTGGGACCAGACTCTTGAAGATTGTTATGAGAGACAGACCATCTAGATATCTGAATGACCTTCATATAAGATCTAATAATTTAGTTGCTTGATTCACCTTCTTCTCACAATGGCCCGAGAACCTCGGTTCATTGTCAACATACACACCCAGGTCCTTTTCACATTCGGTCTCTGTTAATGCAGTTTCTTCGTGCCGTTGGTATGTCCCAGGTGCAGCCTTTTACACTTTGTGACATTTAATCTTAGCAGCAATTTCTTCGACCACTCCTGAAACTCAGAGATCTTTTTGAAGCTCTTCACAGTCTGTTTGGTTCTTAATTTCCCTGAATAACTTGGCATCATCCACAAACATTTGTATGGAGGAGTGTATAGCTTCCGGCATGTCATTTATGAAACACAAACAACAATGGGCCCAATATACTGCCTTATACACATGATGATTTCTTACCATTAATCACCACACACTGCTTGCTGTCATGCAGAAAGTCTCTGATCCACGCTAGGACACTTCCCTGAATCCCATACCCTTCCAGTTTAATTCTCAGCCTCTCATGGGGTATGCTGTCCCGGCATAAAACCGTGTTGGCAGTTCTTTACAAGGTTGTTTCATAGTAGATGTTCCATCATGGCATCTCTTATAATGCTCTCAAGTACTTTACATACTATGCTGGTCAGGCTCACTGGTCTATAATTATTCATGGAGTGATGATCACCTTTCCTGAAGATAGGACTCACAAAACCTTTTTTCAGTTACAGTACTGGGGAACTTTTGCTCATCCAGGCATTTACAGAACAGGATCTTTATGGGCTCAGCAAGCTCATTGCACAACTCTATTATCACTCTGGGATGCACCATGTCAGGGCCGGGACTCTTATGAACCTTTAGCTTTGACAGTTTATTTCGACACAAGACCCTACATGTAGGATACAACAACCTTAAGCACAACTCTTCTGTAAACAACATTTTCCTGGATACTGTTAATGAGGAGAATGATCTAGGCATTATATAACGTACCTTCGAATACAAAGATAGTAAAATGTTCCTTCAACTGTTCATATCTCACGTACAGTACGTCCCAGTCTGGATTACTGTACACAGACATGGAGACCCTACCTCCAGAAAGACTTGATTAAGATCCCTAGAAAAGGTGACAGTAATGATTCTGGAACTGGCACCTAAATTACCCTAGTAGACTGGGGGTCTTAGGTCAGGATTAACAATCCTTCACACAAGGCACATTAGAGCTGACCTTTTATGATAAATATTTAAAATTTTCTAACATCCTCCCTGAAGTGCTAATGCTTTGAAATCATTTGCATTTTGATAGTCCAGATATTTGACATTATTTTGGATAATAACAGTTCTGCTTACCAATTGTGAACACATTGTAGCTATAGACGAGGGGCGTGACTTACGGGCCGGGTTAGCGTGGAAATAGTATAGTACTGTAGTACTTGGTATATATAAATTAATTGTACACTGTACAGTATATTGTACCCCAGCCCTACCTGCCTCCCCAGCCCTACCTGCCTCCCCCAGCCTACTGCCTCCCCCTACCCCAGCCCTGCCTCCCTACCCCAGCCTCTGCCTCCCCAGCCCTACCTGCCTCCCCAGCCACCTGCCTCCCCCCTGCCCCAGCCCTACCTCCCCCCCTCACCTCCCCAGCCTACCATCCCTTATCCTTCCCCAAACGGCAGACAGCAAAACTTTACAAAAACAATTACTATTCTATACTGCAGTTAATATCTTTTCTGTCTGTTACTTCCCCTCATTTAATTATGGGAATACACCTGTACTCTTTCTCTCTCTCTCTCTCTCTCTTACTTTTTGCTTTTATCCTCTTTGCCACTGATTGGCTCATTAGTTGGTTGGGCGGTCGGTCACGTCTGTGTTACACACTGTTGGCAAGTACTGGGCATGCACCGGCTCCTGAATGTATCTGAACCTGCTCCAGTGTTGGTCAACTCTGGTCTTGAAAGAGCTCACACTCGGTGCCGTCACAACACTCTGGCAGGTTGTTCCGAGAGTTCACAATTCTCACTGAAAAAATTTGCCCTGACAATTTTGTGGACTTGTGGCTTCTTCAACCTTAACTCTCTGGTATTCTTGACCATGGTCAGAATTATCAACTCTTCGCGGTCTTTCGTCACAGGTTGCGTCGGTAACAGGAACATTTTTCCATTTTGGTAAATATTGGGTAGAGTGATCCAAACCCAAATTGTACCCATTTGACGCATCTTTCGGCTCACAAGGTGAACGGGAGGAACTCAGATTGTTGATAGGCCCGGCCCACTGTTCCAGCATTTCTGCTTACTGGAGGGGGGGGGGGGTGCTCTCAGTATGAGATACAACTGAGTGGAAGGGGTCAGGCCAGCACGGGAGCGTTTAGCGACTCAATCTGCGTCAAAAGTCTACGGGAGAGTTAAGCTGTCACCCCTAGTGTAACGGGCATCCACTAGTTGAAGGTATGAACACTCAATTGAGTAATGTCCTCTGAGTTCCTTATAGATTTTTATTAAATCACCCCTTGCCCACTACATTATGTATATTGTACTGTATGCTAGGTAACTGCAGGTGTTTTAACACATTCAGCTGTTTCTCTTCTGGTAGATCTGAAGTAACTGAACTTGTTAATTTATAGACACAATTTTAACTTACAAAAATGGATGGTATTGTACAGTATTAGAGTACAGGTTCTCCTCGACTTACGACCATCCGGACATACGACCGCCCCAGTCGTACCAAAATTTTTTCAAATTACGTATTTTCGAGTCCTGACGTTAGTGATTGCGCTGTGTACTGACAAAATTTTCGTTTGTAATTCCCTTTAAAATGGCTGTCAAGCTTAAAAGTGAGAGTTTTCTGGTGCTGAGAAGAAAAAGAGACACCCATTTTAGATTTTCTATGTATTATTTTCGCATTTTTGACTTACAACCTGGATTTGGGTCCCTAACCCCGTCGTAAGTCGGGGACTGCCATGTTATTGCTCCCTTTGTTTTAAGAAATTGTCTGTTTACTAGTTTTACAGTAGTGCAGTATATCCATAATAGCATTTATTGATATGTGTTTTAATGCATTTTGTTAAACAGTAATAATTAATTAAAAACAAATAATGCTTTTAATATTGCTAACACATAATTTTTTCTGGCTTCATTGTATAATGTTAATAAGTGACCCATTTTGAACTTGGTGTAAATCTTGTAGGAGGGAGCCTTTGCTTTGGCCTTCAAGAGCAAGCACTTCCCCGGGGAGCTGGTGACCACCCGACGAGGCTCTCCTCTCCTGGTGGGCATTAAGACCAAGGAAAAGCTCTCCAGTGACCACATCCCCATCCTCTACAGCAAAGGTGAGTACTGCTCCTGTGGTCACTACTGTGCTGTGCTGCAACATTATTTTGGTTTAATCACTGAAATGATAAACAGTACAGTGCAGTATTGTATCACACAGCCATTATATGAGTCTTACCTGTAATAATAGCTCCAGGATATAGACAGAGACGATACAGTACAGTTTATTGATCATCAGAAAGAAGATACTATACCGTAATAAGTAATAACTTACACTACAGTATATATATGACTTCAATGAGAACTTTAGGATATTTATTGATGCAGTAATTGTCATTTGGTCTTATACACTATGATATTTTTTACTTATGCTTAGTGGTAAATGTTTTAAAATTGATCAGTTAGTTATGTTGATGATCTGCAAACATGATTGGTAATTTATTAGTCTTGAAGCAGCTACTGTATATATTTCTGACAGAGGCCATTCTTACGGCACTAATATTATGTGGTTTATCTTCTACTCTTACATATCCAAACCAATAAATACTTTACTTCATGCATGGTAACCACTGTATTTTGTTCCTATGTCAAGGATATCTAAGCATCTTAACGTGTTTTGTAACCTAACCTAACCCTAACACAATGGAATCTAGCCTTAAAGATAATATCCAGCCTTATGTCACTCACATTGACATGTCATAATGTATACCTAACCTTAGCCAATAGATCTTAGTCATATTTTTTACATTGAATATTGGGTTTTTAAATTTTAACCATCAGCAACAACTGCCGTCAGGATGGCCACTGTCCGCTACTGTATAGTGTCCAGGAGGAACATAGTGGGTTCACTGTGTTGGTCTTTGACTTCTTGCATGAATTTTTAATACTGTATCTATATCACAAATGTCAGAATGTATTGGCCAGAGTTGTTCAGTACAGTACTGTACCATGTTTAGTAGGTCAGTACTGTACAGTACAGACACAGTGGTGACTCCAATAAAAAATTCAAAGGTCTGGGGATATTTGTGACTGTTTTCAAGGATAGACTTAACAATAGAGTCCTTTTTTATTTGTATCAATAATATACATAAAGTTTTAATTATTTTATGCTGATGTATAAGTTCCATATAAATCAAGGGCATCGTAGTGTTGAGCACCACACAGTGCAGTAGCTTCCCGGTGTACTGTATCTAACAGGACTATCTGGACTTAATAATATTTGTATTTCTTTAAGGTTTTCAAAATTGTTCTAATGCACTCAGTAAAATAAGGTATAGTTCAGTAATGAATTTGGCCATAACAAGATGATCAGCAGTAAAGAGAATAAAGTAAATTACCAGTTGGGTGCAGTACACTGTGCTGTATCATGAAGTAACAAAGGTTACAGCCCACTTGTTGTTAACTAAGTACGGTACAGCGAGTCATTTTTAATTTCTCCGTTCACTGGCTTACCGTCTATGCATTAAATCTGGTGTTTTAGTGAAGATTATAAAAAAAAAAGACCATTTTTAGTCCATGGAGCCATTTTAGATACTGACCTTAGGTAGACTAATAATAATAATGATCATGGTGTCTTTCAGGTGCTCTTCTATACACAGTACAGTATATACAGTAATCAAGGTTTCAACAGTGCATGTACACTATAGCTGGTGATGGTGTTACACTCTTCTTGTTGCCTAAATAATGCATTCTAGTTTATGTGATGGGCAAGTCTCATTGCATATCCAGCTTCAAAGATATCCCAGATTATCAAAATGAAATTTACATGTATACAATGTCTTGTACAGTATATTCTCCTAAAAGCAGTTGTGTTGGTTTTGGTGCTGTATATATTGTACAGTAGTGCTGCACCAACTACAGCCTCAGTTATTTGTAACAGTCTTGAGTCTGTACCTCACATCTTTCTTCATTACTATAAATTTGCTGAATAAGTTACTGTAGCTGTGAATTACCGCACAAGTCTTTGGTACAACTGCTGATGGTTGTGTGGGTTAACAAATGGACAAAATATTTCAAGTCATTCACAAGATCAAATTAATGAAGGAAGCATCATCAGGCAATGAAATTTATGAGAAGTACAGTAATAAATATTTGATCCAACATCAGATGGGAATCTTGGAATCTGGATTATGAACAGAAGAAAATGCTGTTAACTCATTGGTATCATTTCTGGCTTACTAAGATGGGTGCGAGTTCGGAGGCCGGACACTTGGTTCAAGAGAGAGAGGCAAGTGAAGTGTGATAAACAAGCTTGCACATGTTAATATTTGCATGATAAATTTACTGCATTTATTTTGATGTACGTTGTTTACTTTTTCCTATACTTAGTGCTTCTTTAACATTGCTCGTCCCTGTTACACCAACGTAGTATCTAGCGCTTAAACAGATGTAACAAGAATAACCGATAATTAACATCTGTACTGATATTTGCTTTGGAATATAAGATGCTGCCTGCTGCCACCATAAGCTGAACGCTACAGTACAGCACAGCCTTAACACCACTAACTTGGGTTAACTGATGCTTGCTATTTATTACAAGACATTATTTCCTTGTTCTCATATTTTAATTACTACATAAAATTTTACATCACATATATAATTAATCTTTGTGAAGGTACATTATTATATGGTTTGAGAAATAGATTATTTCTCAGTGTTAATTTTAACTATTATAATATGGGTCACGATAAAGTTACTTGGGTATTATTCTCCACTTATTTTCAGCTTAAGGAATTAAATGTTAACAAATTATGATATGAAACAAGAGGTGGTGGAGAGACAAGGAAATATACATAACTGCATCATAGCATAACTAACACACATCAGGTAACTTTGTACAGTACTGTATAACCTTCTTATAACGGACTTTCATCTCTATGTAGTTCATTAGATGGAGGTTTCACGTCTAATGAACCTTCGATATAATGAATTTTCCTTCATGTAGTCCGTTAAATAGAGGTTTCACTGTACTTATAATGTTTACAGTTACAGCAAACATCATCTATATTGTCCTCACCACAACATAACCTGTACTGGAGGAGGACACTGCACTATTGTCCTCACCACAACATAACCTGTACTGGAGGACACTGCACTATTGTCCTCACCACAACATAACCTGTACTGGAGGAGGACACTGCACTATTGTCCTCACCACAACATAACCTGTACTGGAGGAGGACACTGCACTATTGTCCTCACCACAACATAACCTGTACTGGAGGACACTGCACTATTGTCCTCACCACAACATAACCTGTACTGGAGGAGGACACTGCACTATTGTCCTCACCACAACATAACCTGAACTGGAGGAGGACACTGCACTAAACCACCAGTTGGTTTATGTAGTGTCTTAATAATGGTTTTAGTTGGTATGGTGGAGGTGACTTGTTAGCTGCTTGTGTTTTATATATATTTATAGTGCAGTAGTAGAGGTGTTGCTTCCATTTTTAGTGGTTTAATGGTCTGCATTTTGTGTAGTACTGTATTTTGACGTGTTAACTAGAGGGCTGACCAAGTGGTGCAGGGCATGAGTAGTGTTTAATTATTTATCTTTTGTTTTCAGCACGTGGATTATGTAGTTCTTGTTTTATCATCCATCTTTTGTTTTGTTTTTCAATTTTTATTTCTGTAGTTATTTACTGCTGTTAACGATAACACATTGAGGCAGTACATTATTGTGTTGTTATTTACATTAACCCTTCCTTCCCCTCCGTGTTTGCTCCTGCCTGCCTCGCCCTCCACACCACGTCCAGATTCACCCGAGAAGGTTGAACTCCAAGGTAGTTAGTGGCTCCTTCTTCCCTTTTTGTTTTCTCAGTAACTCTTAAAGTATTTATTTTGACATTATTGTACAGTACTTCCTTCACTGTTTGTTGGTGTGTTAACTTCATTCTTCTTGCTTGTTCATTTATAAGAAATTGATCTTCATTTGACCTTTTTTTCCCTTTCACTGTTGAAACATGTATGTTAGTAGTAATTAAGAGGCTAATTCTCACTGTGCCTGAGTCTTTTATAGTATATTAATATCTTATAACCAGTTGTCCACATCATAGTATATTTAACATGCAGTAAAATATCACTTCACATCTGCTGTTGTTGATAATCCCAGTTTCCAATATTTGGATAAACTGGCATGGTAGTACAGTAGACTGTTTCAGCATGTCATCTACTGTAGTCCAGAGCATTCTGTATTATCAGTCTCTCTCTTATTGATAATGTATGATATTTCAGACTTCCAGGGTTGGGTAGTTCGTTTTATTATTGATGACAAACTAAAATCTTCATTATTTAAAATATGCCAGCCAGCGGTTAGTGTTGGTGCTGCCACTTCATGTTTCACTCGCTTCAGTGTTCTCCAAGACGGTGAACAATTCTACTATTAAATATTGTACACAAGTTATATGAACAATTTATGTATGTTTTTGTCATTGTGCTTGTATCATCAGTGACAAGAGATGGGTAAAGGGTGTCATTAGTGACAAGTGATGGGTAAAGGGTATCATTAGTGACAAGTGATGGGTAAAGGGTATCATTAGTGACAAGTAATGGACCAGGTTCCTACTCTTGATAGAACTTTGTAATTCAGGTTGTGAACCATCTTCCTGTGTTTGAGGATAGACAGTTTGACATAGCACTGACCCACATTGTGTTCTCAGAAGAGGGTATAAGAAATCAACTGTCAAAGCTAAAGGTTCATAAGAGTCCCGGCCCTGACATGGAGCATCCCAGAGTGCTAAGAGAGTTGTGCAATGAGCTTGCCGAGCCCCTGAAGATTCTGTTCTGTAAATGCCTGGATGAGCAAAAGGTCCCCAGTAATTGGAAAATGGCTTATGTGAGTCCTATATTCAAGAAGGGTGATTGTCACTCCATGAATAATTATAGACCAGTGAGCCTGACCAGCATAGTGTGTAAAGTACTTGAGAGCATTATAAGAGATGCCATGATGGAACATCTACTATGAAACTACCTTGTAAACAATTACCAACACGGTTTTATGCTGGGACGCTCTTGCTTAACACAATTACTCAAGGTACTGGATGTTTGGATTCAAATTCTGGAACGGGGTGGTAATATCGACAAAATATACCTAGATTTTGCCAAGGCTTTCGACAGTGTACCCCACTGGAAGGATACTGGATTCAGGGAAGTGTACTAGTGTGGATCGGAGACTTTCTTCCTGATCGCAAGCAGTGTGTGTGGTGATTAATGGTAAGAAATTGTTAGGTGTACCCTTGATAAGCAGGGTACCACAGGGCAGTGGACTGGGCCTGTTGTTGTTTGTGTTTCATAAATGATATGCCAGAAGTTATACACTCCTCCATACAAATGTTTGTGGATGATGCCAAGATATTTAGGGAAATTAAGAACCAAATAGACAGTGAAGAGCTGGAGAAATGTCTCTGTGAGCTTCAAGAATGGTCGAAGAAATGGCTGCTAAGATTCATTGTCACGAAGTGTAAAAGGCTGCACCTGGGACTTACCAATGGAAAGGAGGCATATCATATGTCCCAACGGGACAAAGAAACTGCATTAATAGAGACTGAATGTGAAAAGGACCTGGATGTGAGTATTTTGACAATGAACTGAAGTTCTCGGGCCATTGTGAGAAGAAGGTAAATTAGGCAACTCAGTTATTAGGTCTTATAAGAAGGTTATTCAGATATCTAGATGGTCCGTCCCGCGTAATGATCTTCAAGAGTGAGGTGCTTCCCCATCTGGTCCCCGAGATATGTTAACCCTCAAGAGATGGATGTTACTCTTTTTCCTGATGTTATCAATGGAGTCTGTATATGTGTTGCTTTAATTTATAGACTGTTAACTCCTTGTGTACGGGTCTGGCGTTTGTCCAATAAAATATTAAAAATGGCGTCCCTGTAGTGAAGAGGTTAATCTGATAGAGGATAAACGAGAGAAGTATAAACACATGAAGATAGAATACTGTATATAGTTCTCTTGTTAAGCATCACTTTCTTATAAACAATGGTGTCTCAGGGAGAATGCTAGACTAAGCCATTCTTGAAGGCAGATGACATGAGACCAAGACAAACTGAACCTACTTTAGCAAAGATAAATTAAATAAGATTACATTAGTTAAGTTTGCTTGGTACAGTCACCTACAAAAGTCCTCTTGCCACTCTTGCTGGACCACAAACCCCGAGAATGAGACTCGTGAACCCGAAGCAGTAGACATTGGTGCATTATTCTGTTTATAAATGCTTTGGACTCAAGAGTCTGATTCTTGGGGTTCATGGTCCAGGAGGAGAGACGACAGAAGTTTTGTGGGTGACTGTACAAATCACATGCCATCATTCATAACTCAGTCCAGCATTCTTCCCAAGGGATCATGTTTACAAGTCAATGAGATGTTGTAAGGACTCAGTTACACAATATTTTCTTTGTTTTTTTTCTTCACATTGTCTTTTTTTCTTTACTGTATTTACTTAACATAAACTAAAATAATATCTGGCTCATAAAGCTTTATTAGGATGTGAAGTAAAAATCGATTTACATGTTTAACTTTCTTGACCCCTTCACTATGGAGACCCCACTTTTGATATTTTATTTGGGCAACATCAGACAATTTCATTAGGAACAGAGAGGGGTTAAGGCATGGGATAATTATGGCATAGAGTCTTGAGTATTCTAGTCATTACTCTCAGTTGTATGTTGTAGTTCACCCCACAAGTTGTACATCTGATAACTGTATTTTCCCATTTGCGAGAACACTGAGTGAGTCTTTCATGATATAACCCAGGTAGTTAATGTCATGACTTTGGGCATCTTATATAATGAAGATTTTCAGTAGAAACTTTTCTTGTGATTATTTATTACTAATCTCTATATTGGGTGCTATATGTGAGGTGGTGTTATGTTAATTGTCTGTTGGTAATAGTTTTTGCTTAAATTGTAGAAAAATTAGTTACTATCATGGTATCAGGTCTTCTGCTTGTATGGCTATTTTGTATTGTATGTTTAAATACTGTACAATGTTTGTACTTCTCTGTGGTGTCACACTATATGGAAAGATGTGGACAGCTAAGTAGATGTAGTAATAATAAGACCTACTCTACTTCTTGTAATTAATGCCTTGCTTGTAAGGTTTGTTGTTAATTTGCTGTGTGTGTGTGTGTAAGAATGTCCTTAGTTGATCTCCTGTTTGGGGTCCAGCAGAGTTAGAATGACTGAAGGTATGGGTATGCATCTGTATGCTTCCATTGCACTGTCTTCTGATGGACATTAGTGTAGTGCTTCAGTAGATTCATGGGACCAGTTGGCGACTGACTTATGTTACACAAGTGTATGGGTTGTCATGGTATCTGTTCGGTGTGCCAGCGTCCAATGCTTAGGTACTTGAGTATCTTATTACTGTATCTATGGTTAATAAGTGTCTTGGGCTGTGGGTGCCAGAGTTGCATTTGGTAAGATATTATAATTCAGCTTTAAATTGCCAACCTTTTGTACCTGCAGGGATGGAAAATATGTTGAAAAAATACGTAAAAAAGTATTTTCCCTTGAAGCTTCGCGTATGTGTTGATTTTTTTTTCATCTTTTTCCAGTTCACGTTGATAGCGTATTGCTTTACTTGCTTCTTCATCATCACTACTCTGTCATTCCATCCATTCTGTATCCATGCTTTAAACACTACTGTACCAGTTCAGTTTTGTTGACATTTTCCAAAAATATTCATTGGATGAGCCTGTGTCCATATTATGTCAAACGCAATAAAATTAAATCCACAAGTCTGTCATTACTAGATGTGGAGAAAAACTTAGATTCAGTTTTGTTTGAATCTACTGTCAAAATTGTGTTCGGTATCAGTACTGAACATTAAACACCACCGCCGGCCAAGTGAGCCTCTTGATGTGTTACAACAGAACTTTGTCCAGCTGGTCGTCTGTACAACAAAAAGTATAATATTATACTTTTGTTCAAGTTCTGACAAACAAATTGAGGTTTTTTTCTTCAGTTTTAAGAGTTAGACTAATTCCTGATCTTTGTTAAGGCTTGAGTTCAATTTTTTTTTCTTCTGATTTTACAGAATATTTCATGTGGATTACAGAGCTCTGCTGTTCCTCTCTTGTTTTACTGCCAGTGACCATTTCATTCATTGCATTTTCTTGGTGATTTAACTAAAAGTACTGTACTTGTATACTTGGTGCAAATGATAGTTAGTTTATTGAATAATGAAATTGATCTTGTATTGATTTGGCTGTTGTGTGTCAGAAGTGTACCCTGTACTGTACAGTAAGTCCTCGCTTAACGTCGTGGTTCTGTTCCTGAAAAATGCGACGTTAACGGAAACAACGTTAAGCGGATCAATTTTCCCAATAAGAAATAGATAAAATACGGGAGTTACGTTCCCCAGCCTTCCTTTGACCCATGAAATACATTACATAGGGTACAGAAATTCAATGGAATTTTTATAGAAAATAGTGTATATTAAACATACCAAAAGATAAATAAACTAAATAATTTTGTATTGTACTCACTGATGGGCAGAGGTGGAGCGAGTGTGTGGTGGGTAGTGGAGAGGAGGAGGATGGCGAGTCACTGAGACCCGGAGGGTGGCTCCTCCTCCCGCTCTGGCTGGACGAGAGAGGGTGATGCGCCGTACAGAGTAGTCCGTGATGACGTTATACAGAATTGGCGGGACGTTGTCTGAATCACGGGTATCTTAAGAATAGCGACGTTACAATGATACAACGTTGTCGGGGGCAACGTTAAATGAGGACTTACTGTACTACTATACTGTATGGAGGATACCGGTGATTGCTAAACAAATATTACGTACTTCAGTCTAATATTTTGTGGTTTCTTTGTAAAACTCAGGTATTTTATGTGGGTAATTGTTACATCTCAAACACAGTATTACAAAGTTGTTCTCAGTATTATTCTTACATTTCTTGTTTTGTTTTTTCCTAATATGATGTAATTATCTTTTCTTTGTTTTATTCTTATGTATTTTCATTAGGTTTTTTATGGTTTTCATTGAGTAAATTAGAATTGTCACGAATATGGCTGTACAGTTTAGTAGTTTACGATAAATATATATATTTTTTTATTGTTTGAGCTGTAAATATCTGCTGAAGTCACTTAAGTGTTGGTAAAGTGGTTGACAATAATTATTTAAGTTACCCCAGTATTTGACCAGCCATATAGTGTAAGTGGTGACCTTTACTGACCCATGTTTACTCTTCCTCCTACCATCACCTGACCTCCCACAACCTGCTGTTCCTCACCCTAGACTTGGAAGGTAATGGTTCTCCTCTCCTCTAGTTCTTTCTCTTATCTAACATCTATTATACCTTCATTATTCTGATCCCATTTAACTGATATCTTGATACAGATTCTGATATTGTGAATAGACTGTCATTCACTGGGTCAAAAGTCCTGTAGCCTCTCCTGTTGCTTCGTGAACCGTGAGATTCAGACTCGTGAATCCGAAGCAGTAGACACTTGCATCATTCTGTCCGTAAATGCTTCGGATTCACGAGTCTGAATCTCGGAGTTCACGAAGCAACAGGAGAGGCTACAGGACTTTTGTGTGCAACTGTACATGATGGTAGCTATCTTTTGTTTGTCAGTTAATATTTGTTTATCTTTTGTCCAGATTAGTGTTTGTTTTTCATAGTTAGTTTACAGTGTTAGATATAAATAGTCTGTTAGTTAAATATTTTCATTAACAACAAATATCAGTAGTAAGTACAGTGGACTATTTACTATCTACCATGGCTAGTCAAGAGGATTGGTAGGTACAGTACAGTGAGCAGTACTCTGGCTAAACAAGACTGGGAAAATTAACCAACACTACCATGCTACATATACAGTAAACTAGTACATATAAACAACAAATTATATTTACTCTCATGTGTATAATCAGAGAAATAGTCCTCACATGTAATAGAATGTATTGTCTTAAATAAATGTAGACAAGAGTACAACACAGTAAGTGAAGTAAGTTGTGTTTAGTACATAAAGTGATATGAGAAGCAACACACTTCTCTGTGGGGCTCCCTCTTGAGGATTACCTTCAATACACAAAGTAGCAACACAGCAGCAACACAACAGCAACACAACAGCAACACAACAGCAACACAGTAAATAATATCTCTTGTACAAGCTCTCATATGATATAGTTGAAGCTGTGTAATAACTGTACTGTATATTTAACAGTAGCAGATAGCTGTATTGAAGTGACTAGTAGATAGTGGAGGGTCCATTGTACAGTATCTCAAAGCTAAATTCATTAAGTACATCTTTTAATGTGTTACTAGTTCACTGTCATTGATAACTCTTTGTGTTAGTACATCTGTTTCCTTTATTATATGTCATTAAATTTGACAGCACAGTATTAATGAAATAGCAACAAATGTTTTAATTTTTTTTTAAGTTTTGTAAATATGAGTTTTAGTTACATGTAAAAGAAGTGTTGTGTAAAGTAGAAATGTTGTAGTATTACTGTATGTATACTTACTGTTGCATTGTAGATTATTAAGTACTGTTGGTGCTTTTGTTGAGAACTTATATCATAGCAAACATGTTCAGACATACAAATATTGAATCCATTTCATAGTTCCTTTTATTTTAGTAATATTTCCTCTTTTTTCCCCAAACCTCCTCCACTTGCCACCCCTTATAGGTCTTCCTGCTAAAGAAAAAGGTAATATTTTATTCTTTTTATCTTTTTTTGTATTATGTGTAGCTAGTTAGTGGGCTGGGTTGAGGTAACATTGATAACCTAGGAAACTGATATTGATTGTTGAGTATAGCCAGATATGTGTAGTAGTGGCCTACACTGAGCTGGTTAGTCTGTTGTGTTCATGCCTCAATGTTCTCGTCTGACAGAAGGATGTTGCTACAGCCAAGTCCCACATGACATCAAACATTTTTTTTAAAGTACCGGTAATTTAATTTATTTTTTTCTATTTTCTTTGCTTATGTGACACTTGTAGGAATTTCTTTTATTTGGTAATCTAAGCTACTGGTATTGTATAATTAATAGGATGTACAGTTATAAATTAATATTTAAGCTGACTCTCAGATGGTTTTATATAAATACATGATTAATGAAGAGAAAAAGATAAATATGAGGTCCCATTTTATGACTAAGGGAGGAAATAGTGACCTTTGAGGATACTACCACACAGTACCCTCTTTTAGTCTTGGTGATAGATCAAGTACTGTAGTCTATTGGCAAATTTCACCATCCAGTCAGATAGCTGTGTACTGGGTAAGTCTTGTCACCCACTTCATGCCAGATCATTAGACTCTATGGCTCAGGCAGGATTTAGTTACCAGATTTGAAGGATAGACTCTGGTTCATAAGCTCTCTCTTCAAAACCCACATTAGCGATAAATATAACCTAACCTAACCACACTAGATCAGTTCCTGCCAACCTATGATGCCAATAAGAGAGATGAGTAAGAGGGTTTCTAGTGATGTGTGAGATCCTAAGCCATCTTGGTGTGGGTTGAAGGAAGTCATTTGTCGAGAATGAAAGGAAACACCTCAAAGGAAGTTACTATTTTAAACAAAGAATGTGACTTGTATTATCTACTTTATAATGTTACACAATATGGATTCTAATCCTTCGTGTTAAGATAATTAGAGATGGAGGTCCATAGACTTTTCTTCACACTAGATTTTATTTATTGGTGGTGTAGAGAAATCCCACAGTGGAGGTGAAGTCTTGTATGTTATGTCTTGGTGTAATCAGAGCTTCACTGGACTGAGCTAATTGAATGATCTATGTGAGAAAAATATATTGTACAGTGTTTGTCTTATCCAAGTTGAGTGAGCAGCTCAGGAAGAAGGAAACTTTATCCCTTGAAGGTGTTTGGGTGTTTCATGCTAGGCCAAATAATATCTACATACTGTACAGTGTACAGTAATTGATATATATATATATATATATATATATATATATATATATATATATATATATATATATATATATATATATATATATATATACTGTATATATAGCGTGACCTCATAGAAATAAGCTATAGTACTGTATATTGTTAGGATGGTTGAAAATACACCAAACTGCAACAAAATGTTTATTGTTTATGGAAATTCAAATTACTAGTGTTGAAAAATAGTAATCTTAAGATGGTGTCCTCCAGAACCACAGTACTCATGGCATGAAGCCATATCTTGCTTCAGAGAAATCACATGGCCAGCACGGTCCCCTGATTTAATGGTACTGATTTTTTTTCCTCTGAGGGAGCCTGAAAAGTACATGTAAAGTCCATTGCCACAGACCTGCAAACTTGGAGGAGCTAAAAGCGAACATTCGGCGGTGCATTAATGAAATCACAGCAGACACCCTCCGAGCTGTCATGAATAATATACTGCCATGAGTACTGTGGTTCTGGAGGACACCATCTTAAGATTACTATTTTTCAACACTAGTAATTTGAATTTCCATAAACAATAAACATTTTGTTGCAGTTTGGTGTATTTTCAACCATCCTAACAATATACAGTACTATAGCTTATTTCTATGGGGTTATGATATACTGTAGTGTGTGAAACACCCAGTACTGTTAACAGTATATGAATAAATCAAATGAAAAAGGCAATACTGTACCTGTACAGCACAGTACATTCTGGCTAAATGTTTATTATTAATTAATTTTGAAGTTGATGAAGAAGGGACGTGACTGATAAAGAGTGATAATAGACATGACTACTGTACTGTACTGTACTCCCTGCATTGGGTCCCTCACTCTACAAACGCATACTATACGTAAGATGTTGTGGAAGGGCGGGGTCATTAAGATGTTTTAGCAGGTATGATAAGTTTATTTTAAGGGAGACTACAGTTTATTTTAAGGGAGACTACAGTTTATTTTAAGGGAGACTACAGTTTATTTTAAGGGAGACTACAGTTTATTTTAAGGGAGACTACAGTTTATTTTAAGGGAGACTACAGTTTATTTTAAGGGAGACCACAGTTTTGTTTTTTTAGGTTATTGTCGTGATTGTAGGAGAGAAATTAATATGACGCAGAGATTGACTCTTTAGCTGGCAACCATGGCAATAATGTTTGTGTCATAATGCACTTGTTGAGCTGGCACTGGCATCCAGACTATTGGCACTTAACAGAATGACACCCAAGAATATAAGTGTGGCAAATGTTCTTTCTAATAACTTAATTAAGATACGGCATAAGCTTGTTAATGAGTAAAGATGGTTTCATAACCCCCCTTGTGCATGGAGTGTATCAGTATTTAATTTTCGTTTGTAAGTTATTTTTGCATGATAATTTTGTACATTTGAGAGTTGAAGTCTTACAGTAGGATAGTGTATGAATATATTGATTTGTTTTTATGGCTAAACTTTATTGGGTTCCTTATGAACTGAATATTGAGTGTATAGTACACTACCAGTAACTCAGAAGCATGCAAGTTTCCATGTCAATAGCATGAGTCTGTATTAACAAGAGACTGATAGACATGCAAGTATCTACAGTATTTTGCACCCTCATTATACTAACTAAATTTGACCTTTTTCCCCATTTTTTCATTATGGTTGGCTTGCGTGTGGCCGTCCTGCTGCATGATCCCCAACCCCTCAATATCCCTCACTCCCTATACCCCAACAGACAGTCAAGCAGGTAAAGTATGTCTTCACTGTTCTTTCTTTACTCTTAGATTAATGAGATCAAAATAAAACACACACACACACACATGTTTCATTGCACATTATTACATAACTAAACTCATGTTATGTGATGTCTCTTTTGTACTTTGTAGCCATTATGCTTAAGAGCTGATGCATTTGTAGTACTGAGAGTTTATAAAGCTTTTATTGTTCAGTGTTGCCATTGCTTGTTATTTTTTGCTGTTGTAGTGTACATGTACTTAGAGTACTGTACCCTACTGTAATGTATCATATAGTTCAGTACAGTTTGTTGTATGTAATCTCATTGACATTTATATTCTTATCAAAATGAATTGTATAGTAGTCTGAGTTAAGAGGTTTACATATTGTTAGTAAATGTTAAGAGATAAGTGTCATATAGAAGACAGTCACATCACACAGTAGATATCTCACTGTATTCTTAACAAAGTAATCTGTATGTTGAGGGGATTACTGAGTTGAACTGGTCTGCTCAAACACTCTTTAATGTATCATATACAGTGTGTGACATAAAAGAGAAGGTCCTGTAACAATCGGCATTAATAAAAAACATTTACAGATCACCGGTCCCACGTGTTCGACCTCCCTAATGTCTTGGCACGCACAGAATCCACTGCCGAGTTCCTGCCTCTTGGAGATGATAAGGAAGTGGAGTATTTCTTTGCTTCAGATGCTTCAGCCATCATTGAACACACAAATCGAGTCATCTACCTTCTGGTAAGAGGACAGAGCAGAGTTATTGTTTTGTGGAAAGTGTGTTGAAGCGTGAAATTATTATGTTTAACCCCTTGAGGAGTGACTTTTGGCGCTCCTGCAGCTACCCCAATGAACGAGGTTTTTCCATCCTAAACAAAAGAAGAGAGAATTAGTATGACAAGTTAAACTGATGTAAACACTCAACATGAGAGAGTGATGATGAGCCAACACTACCTGGTCAGGATGTGAACTTTTACTTTACTCTTATCCTCTTCACCACTGGTCGGCTCGTTAGCCGTTTGGGCAGTCGGTCACGTCTCTGTTACACACTGTTGGCAAGTACTGGGCATGCACTGGCTCCTGAATGTATCTAAACCTGCTCCAGTGTTGGTCAAGTCTGGTCTTGAAAGAGTTCACACTCGGTGCCGTCTCAGCACACTGGCATGAGTCCACAACTCTCACTCCCAAAAAGTTTGCCCTCACTTGTGGCTTCTTCAACCTTGATCTGTGACCCCTTGTGGGGTGAGCATCTGCCAGCTCCAGGTATGAATACTCAACAGAGTAGTGCCCCTTGAGATGTTTATACACCTCAATTAGGTCTCCCCTTGCCGGTCTGTAGTATAAGCTTGGCAGTTGCATGCGCTCTGATCAATATGAATAACTGATGCCAAGCACCAGTCTGGTGGCCCTCCTTTGGACATTTTCTATCAACTGACAGTCCCTAGAGAATCTCGGGGACCAGACTGGGTGACAGTACTGTACTCCAGACGGGGAAGCACCTCACTCTTGAAGATCTTGACTAGCGACAGACCATCCAGATATCTGAACGACCTTCTTATAAGACCTACTATTTTAGTTGCTTATTCACCTTCTCACAATGGCCCGAGAACTTCAGTTCATTGTCAACATACACACTCAGGTCCTTTTCGCATTCGGTCTCTAATAGTGCAGTTTCTTCGTTCATTTGGGACATTTGACACGCCTCCTTACTGTTGGTACGACCCAGGTGCATCATCCTCCACTTCGTGACATTGAATCTTAGCAGCCATTTCCTCGACCACTCTTGAAGCTCACAGAGATCTTTCTCCAGCTCTTCACAGTCTGTTTGGTTCTTAATTTCCCTAAATAACTTGGCATCATCCGCAAACATTTGTATGGAGGAGTGTACAGCTTCCGGCATGTCATTTACGAAACGCAAACATCAACGGGCCCAATACACTGCCCTGTGGTACCCCACTTATCACAGGTACATATTATGATTTTGTGCCATGAATCACCACACACTGCTTCCAGAATTTGGGTCCAAACATCCAGTACCTTGAGTAATTGTGTTAAGCAGGAGTGTCCCAGCATAAAACCGTTTTGGAAATCCTTTATAAGATTGTTTTGTAGTAGATGTTCCATCATGGCATCTCTTATAATGCTCTCAAGTACATTACACACTATGCTGGTCAAGCTCACTGATCTATAATTATTCTTGGAGTGACGATTGCCCTTGTTGAAAATAGGTCTCCCATAAGCCATTTTCCAATCACTGGGGAACTTTTGCTCATCCAGTTATTTACAGAGCAGGATCTTCAGGGGCTCAGCAAGCTCGTTACACAACTCTCTTAGCACTCGGGGATGCACCCTCTTTTGAGAACACAGTTTGGGTTAGCAATGTGTCAAAGCATCTGTCCTTAAATGCAGGAAGATTGTTCGCATCCTCTCTTGTGAACACCGAGGAAAAGAATCTGTTCTACGCCTCCACCTTGTCCTGGTCAGAATCTGCATAACTACCATCTTCAAGCCTCAGGTCTGATACTACTCCTCGCATTTTTAATTTTGACTTTGTGTAGCGGTAAAACGCCTTTGGGTTTGACTTGACCTCGCTCGCAATTCACCTCTGGAACTCTATTCAGCCCTTCTTCACTTTGACTTTGCTTGGTTCTTAGCTCTTGCCTACATCCTCCTGTCCTGCTCATCATGAATTTCTGAGTTTTCTTCTAAACTTTGTCGACCACCTTATGATTCATGTGTAACGGTCTCCTTGTATTCCTGCATTCCTTTAGGCACTAGTTTGGTCTTGGGTATATATTTATCGATCAAATGGTTTACTTTACTGGCTATGATATTCAGCCTAGTGTCTGTGTTCTTATATCTTCGTGAGTCAGGCCAGTAAGTACCCCTCATCTTCTTCCTCATCCCATCGTAATTACCCTTGTAATATTTAAACCTTGGCCTGGTTTTGTCATGAACCAAATAACAGTTAAATCTGAAAGACAACGTTATGTGGTGACTGGTGCCAACGAGGTCTTGTTGTTGCAGCTTGGCCACCATACCTTTCTCATTAGTTATGATGAGGTTCAGCAGTTTGGGTGTTTTGTTCCCCTCTGTAATGAGTTGGATCATTAACATGTTGGCACAGAAAATTGTTTCTCAGAGTTACTACAAAAAGGGTAACAGGATTATTAAGGTCATTTGGAGTGGATTCATTTCTCCAGTCGATGTTGCTATAGTTAAAGACCCCATGACAAGGTGGCGGCTATGGTTGAGTGCTGTTCCCTTGTCAGTTAAGGCTCTTAAGTTCCTTTGGTTAATAAGCTACAGTTTGTGGATCTGTAGATACACCCGAAAATGAGTAAGTCTCTTCCCTTTAGTTTAATTTTACACCACTTTGAATCTTCAAAAACATTCTTCCCTGCACCCTCACGTGGCTGGCTCAAAGGTCTTGCCTGGCATTGATAACAACGATCCTTTTTCAAGTTACTTGAGAAAGGTTCGTAAATGAGTCATATCCGTCTATATTGAACTCACATTCCTCTAGGTTCTTGTAAAACAGTTCTACAACACCTACTACAGTGGGGTATGCTATAACGAATCTAATTGGTTCTAGAACCTTGTTCGTTATAGCATTCGTTCGTTATAGGATTAATCCGTTCCAGGCCCCCAAATACAACCACTTAACACTGAAAAATATAATATAAAATTGTAAAAATTGTAAAAAAGTGCATAAATATGCATCTAAACCCCTGAAATAAAGAATATCATTAATACTTGTAATAAAAAACAATAAATTAGTAAAAAAAAAAAAAAATGTTTAAATAATGTTCGTTGTAGGGGTTTCGTTCGTTATAGCATTCTCAATTTTATAGGTAAAACCGTTCGTTATAGGAATATTCGTAGTAGGATCCGTTCGTTATAGCATACCCCACTGTATATCGGGTTGAAGTGCCTTCAGTAGTGTTCCAAACTCATCTCTCTTATCAAGGAATGTGTTACTATTACTGTACATGACTTGTAAGCAAGAATTTGTTCTTGGTAACGTCTCTCATCTTAGCAGTGATTCTGGCCTCCCTCCATTCTCAGCAGCTGCCTCTTTTACTAAATACATTGCATTTTGTGGGGTGTGGTCAGAGAAGACATTGTTTACATGGAGCTCACCTCCTCCTGGGTGGAAGGTGGAGCGGGTGGGGGGTGTCCCACTGTCCCCTGGTTTGGTACAGGCGCACTTGCCTCCACTACCTTCCCCTTGTATATAACCCATGTACGTCCGTCCCCGTTCCTCATCGAATCCTCCCTCTTCTGTTTCAAGCACCACAGGAGCATTTTGTGCTGTTCCCTCTGCATTACTGTGCGATTTGGGTTTATGAATATAACCCAGAAATGCATCACTCCTTGCTAAGGTTTTTCCTGCTGAATAACTTCCCATTTCTTATTCTCACTTACTGGTGTGATCCTGAGGGGGCCAGGCTTGTCCTCCTGCTTTTGTCCTAGCCTCCTCACATTCTGAGGGGCGGCTGACAGTTTCAGAGCCTCTGCACAAATATAGGGTGGAGAAAGTGGTGGTGAGAGTGTGGATTGAAGCTAATGTAACTGTGTAAGGTATTTTTTACATTTCATTAATTATATAACACTAAATAACACACAATTTGGATACGTCTGTGTGTATTTCATGAGTTTGTATCATGAAAATCTGATAAGGCTTTTGTTTCAATAAGAATTACATCCACTTGGTCTGTGTCAGAGTTTTTCATATTCAAGTTTTGTGGTAGAATGGTTGGTCCTTTATCACTTGAATCCTCACCTTGGTCTAGAGTGGGGATATTTTTCTCATTAGAACCTTCATTACACATATCTGTGTCCAGTAACTGTGATGGTGGAGAGAGTGTGTTGTCTAGTCACACTGTCCTCCCTTAAGGTAACTCAACACATCTAAGTCTCTGAGCTGCCAAGATTATAATGGTGAGTGGGAGAGCGTGAGAATTTTAAAAGAACCTTCCCATACCACCTATGACAGTACCTGCTGCATCACAGCCAAACTTTGAGAGTAACTGTGAACCACAACTCCAGTAACTCTCAGTAAACATAGGAACAACAGCTGGATTTTAGGAGAATATTATATCCAGACATTGATATATAATGACATTTACAGTATATAAATAATGCTGAACCTAGAAATTCTTCATATTATCATACAGAGCATTGTTACATATTCTTATCTTGGAATGTTTGCTGAACTTATTAAGAAAAAAGTCACCAGATGCTTTTAAAAAATATTGTATTATTATCCTGTTGTCTGCCATGTTCTAGGATGATGATGTTGCTAGTGTTGACAAAGAAGGCATCCTGAAGATTCACCGCCTCAAACGCAGCCTGGAAGACTCTCATGCCCGTGAGATTACCACACTCAAGATGGAAATTCAGCAGATTATGAAGGGCAACTTCTCATCGTTCATGCAGAAGGAAATCTTTGAACAGCCAGAGTCTGTCGTCAACACCATGAGAGGAAGGATCAACTTTGACAGCGAGACAGTGGTGCTCGGGGGCATTAAGGTGTGTCTCTCACTCATGTTCAAAATTATTGTCTGTATCACAAGCATAATGATCCTGCAGACTGTGTGCTGTATTGAGTTGTGTTTGGCTAGTGTCATTCTCTTGATAGGTTACAAAAATAATACATATGTAGCTAATATTGATAGATATGTACCATACAGTAGAATAAATTAAAGTGTCTTGGCTAAATGAGGTCACAAACAAAATAAATTATAATCTGGTGATATGCGAATATATTTAAGTGTTTATCCTATTATTATTACTGCCAGTGTTTATTTACTCTGTACAGTACAGTAACAAATACTTGCTTCACTTTTCATCAGGAGCACTTGAGTGAAATCCGGCGTTGTCGTCGTCTGCTGTTGATTGCCTGCGGCACGTCCTACCACTCCACCATTGCCACTCGCCAGCTGCTGGAAGAACTGACTGAACTTCCCGTCATGGTAGACATGGCATCAGATTTCTTGGACCGCAACACACCCATTTTCAGGGATGACGTCTGTTTCTTTGTCTCACAGTCCGGAGAAACTGCAGATACTCTTCTGGCCTTAAGGTAGGGTCTTATTATGTGTTTTATTTTGAATATTATAGTGAAGAGAAGTGTACAGGAAGATTTAATGAGCTTTGTAAATCAGGGTTGAATTAGAGGCTCAATACTAGCAGGTTGTGGGAGGAGAGGTGTTGATGATGGGGGAACTCTGCCTCAGGGAACCTCTTGTGGCTCTGGGCAGTAAAGTCCAGGTCAGATCCCCTATAATGAAGATCGTGTTCGGTTGTGTTAATTATTTACTTTCTCCTCATCGCTACTGATCGGCCTGTTAGCCACCTGAGCAGTTAGTCATGTCTCTTGTTACACACTGTTGTCATGTGTTGTCAAATGTCACACTGGGGATATAATTGCAGTTTTTGTTAGTAAATTGTTTCCAAAGTCTACTTTTCTGTGGGTAAGTAAAACAGCAATTAGTTTTAAATTAAAGGTTAATGCTGATTAAAGTCCTTGATGTAGTTTCCAGTCTTCTATATTGAGCCTTAAGTAAATGTTTATATAATACATAGATCCAAACTAAGATTTCTGTTCTTCACTGGAAAGTAAAGATTTCTTCATGAAATTCGCTTAAGTAATTGATCAAGTGGGACAGAATTAACGCTACTCACCAGTCACTCAGAATGTATGAGACTGACCTGCGAACTAACGTACAGTATGGTTATTTTTCAACTCGTAATTTGGGGAAGATATAAGTAATTATCTTTTTTAGTATTGTATGCACACACAATCGTTCATACAGAATGTGCAAAAAAAATTATCACAAGGTTAAAACATAGAGGGAATAAACATTTTATATATACAGTATGTGGGAGTTAGCGCACAGATGAGGGAGGAGGGAGCAGTGTGAGGAATCTCTCGGCTGTATGCCGTCTCCTGTGTCCTGTGTGTAGTGAAACAATTGCCAAATGACAACGCCTTATTTTTTCTTTTATTTTATATATTATTATTTTTATTCGTTCCTCACATTTACTGGTACAGTACACACGCAACACACTTCAGCCGGGAAGTAACTCAAGAGACATGGGTGACTCCTGACTGTATGCCGTGAAGTCTCATGGGGGGAGGGAGAGTGTGGCTGGCCACAGTTACAGCTCACTTCCCACACATACACACCCATAATTTTCATTTCTCGCATTTTATAGTTTTATATTATAATCTTTTTATAGCTATGCCACATTAGAGTACAGAACAGTATTGTAACTATGCACACTTCGAGCACAGAATACCCAGTTTTTCCCAGTGAGTCAAACATCGCTAAACCGAATTTTGACCAAACATTAAACGAGAAATGGTGCTAAAAATTTTATATCGCTAAACTGAAATATCGCTGAGTGAATGAACATTAAATAGGGATGTCTGTGTAGCCACTCAGAGAAAATTAATGGTGAGAATGTTATAGAAATTCCTGAGAAACTTGAATTACTAATAATAATAATTATTATTACTACTGAATTAACACTCGGGATCATACACGCATAAGTTGCCTTTTGATTTAATGTAAATGAAACGTTTGTCTCATGATCAGACACGCCATTATGGCATTTTTTAATTTTCTCTCAAACTTTTTGCTCAAATTACTTCAAATTTTAACTCCACTTTTGTCACACTATTCTCTTGTGCGGAACCAAGTCTTAAGGCTATGTGGCAACCTGTCTATGTGTGGTGGACCATGTTGTATCAGACAGCATTTGCCTTGATATTTATTCTTATGAAATGATAAAGTGATGTGAATTGAAATATTTATAATGAAGTACGTAGTGAAATATTTTTTTAATTTATGAGACGTTGGTGTAATGGCTACTCACAATACAGTTGCATATACAATACCACACAAAAGCATGTCATAATATATAGGTCTAGCTTGAAAACATAATGAGTGATCCTGAAATGTAGTGCAGTCGAGGCAAACATCTGGGAATGGTGAATTATAATGAATATATTGTGCCATTGTCGTGTATATACCAAGGCCTACCTCGTCTGAGTGGTAAGTGGAAATATTATTACTGTATTACCAAAATTTCAGTTTTTGTCACAGAAACTTTTAACTGGTCTATTTCTCTTCCTTTGTAAAGTATGTTTACAGTAATAATCCATCATAAAAAAATACTTTCAAAAGATTTCTACCAAAAAAAAAGCAAGGACAAAATATGTGAATAAACATTTCGGTGACTGTGCATTTAACCATTACTTAATTTTACTTTTTATTCTTTAACTCCGTTACTTTTTACATTATAATTTTTCTGGTTACACCATCGTCCTCCTCATGATTAACTCTCTTGTCATGTGTATTTGAAACTGACTGATGTAATGATGTGGTTACAGCATGAAGAGGAATCAACAGTAAACTCTCACTTTTCACTTACAGTATAGTCTCGGTTTACGCGGATTTTTTGTACGCGGTTGGTCATTTACACGGCACCTGTCCAGACGCACCAATTATTAGTTACGCTGTACATTCCTGAATTTATGCGGGAAGCAGCGCTGACAAGCTGCGCGCTAGATCGCTCTTATGTCACCGCTGACGTCAGATGACGTTTCGGACTGTGATTGGGCCACGCATCCTTACCACCCCTGCATCCCCTCCGCTGCGAGCTGTGATTGGTCTATTTAACCTTGCTTGCCCAGTCATCAAAACATTACCGAGTTCTTCACCCGCCACCCACCACAGCCAGCCCAAGTCAGTGATAGTGATAGTGAGGATATGGACTTTGAGGGGTTTGACAAGGAGGCCCTGCTAGCCTCTGTGGTGGATAGTGATAAAGGCAATACAAGTGATACAGGTGAGGGCCAATAATCTGCCCTCTGCCTCGGGACCAACCTACCATCCCCGTGTACCCAGCCATCTCTTCTACTAACATAAGTGTTAAAAAACCTAATATTATTGATATTTCTCTTAAATATTAATTGTGTGCATGCCATCATAAAATTAAGATGTTATTTTTACTACAACGTACGTACCGTATTGTGTCGGAAAAAGGGTAGTCTGGCGGTCGGCCCAGTCTCTATTTCAATTAATCCCATATGTTCTGTTATTTCGTTTCCGCGTTTCGCGTTATACGCGGACCTCCATGGGTTTAATTGACCGCGTAAAACGAGACTATACTGTATACTGTACTAACAAAAAATTGCTTTTACTGTATTTATTTATTCATTTATTTAAATTTTTTTAGGGCTTCATGTGATTACCCAGGCCCTTTTTACATAGCAAGGCATCATTTAAATCAATATTTGACAACATCTTAGCCATGAAATGCGCTATACAGTACAGTGGATCCTTGTTAGTCATATAATTCTCTTTTAAATAGAAACTTGGCCATAATGTTAACCACTAATGAGAGATTCACAAGTTGTATTCATAAAAAAACCAAATGTATGAAAGCTTTTCTATGTAAAAAATAAATAAAAATCTATGTACAGTACAATACATTATATATTTTGTTGAGGTTGTATCAAAATATTTTTTAAAGATCAACATTAACGGTATATGTGTCCAAATTTTCAAACACAAATCATAAGTTTATTTTTGTGGATGTCATCTGTAACTGGGTCCTGACACCTGGCTGCTGAGTTGTTGAGTGTTTTTAGCGAGTACACATTCACTTTATGCTAATTCGCGTTGACTCTATTTCTATCCATAATTCATTTTATGTGGAAAAGATTCCCTGTTATGTGTTCTGTAGAAGATATGGCACACTAGTTTTATATTATTATTATATTATATTATATTATATTTTATATTATTATTATACAGGTAGTTCTGCTATAACGCGATAATTGTGTTCTTGTAAAATATCGTGTTATAGAAAATCGCGTAATAGAAATAACAGGGCTTATGGAGAAAATAGGGTTAGGTGCAGATTACTCGAAATCGAAAAAATTTAGTAGTTAGCCTAACACAAAGGATAGCACAGTCTAAATAAATGTTACATTCATATCTAATAATGAAATCATACAGTAAATGTAACACTTTACCTTGAAAAAATATGAATGTAACTTGATGGGGGAGAAGGGTGATTTTGAGGTTGATAACATCGAGCTTCTCTTCAAGTGTTATATCCTTTCTTTTACGATAATCACCGGGAATTCTATCATCAGAACGCTTTTTGGAGATATTCTTCTTTACCATAATCACAGTTAATACCACAAAATTGGAGAAATAGTAAGCAAAAATCGCGTTATAGCAAACAAGCGTTCACGTTATACAAATATTGTTCCGAATTCATAAATCGCGTTAGAGCAAATTCGCGTTATCAAAACACGCGTTATAGCAGAACTCACTGTATTATATTATATTATATTATATTATATTATATTATATCATATCATATCATATCATATCATCATATCATATCATATCATATCATATCATATCATATCATATCATATCATATCATATCATATCATATATCATATCATATCATATCATATCATATCATATCATATCATATCATATCATATCATATCATATCATATCATATCATATCATATCATATCATATCATATCATATATCATATCATATATCATATCATATATCATATCATATATCATATCATATATCATATCATATATCATATCATATATCATATATCATATATCATATATCATATATCATATATCATATATCATATATCATATCATATCATATCATATCATATCATATCATATCATATCATATCATATCATATCATATCATATCATATCATATCATATCATATCATATCATATCATATATCATATCATATCATATCATATCATATCATATCATATCATATCATATCATATCATATCATATCATATCATATCATATCATATCATATCATATCATATCATATCATATCATATCATATCATATCATATATCATATCATATATCATATCATATATCATATCATATCATATCATATCATATCATATCATATCATATCATATCATATCATATCATATCATATCATATCATATCATATCATATCATATCATATTTAAGCTGCATTAGAGTATTTTAATGGTTTTTACAACTTCTATAGCATTACTGCTCCAGAAATAAATGTGAAACGTGGCACTGTGTGTGTGTGTGTGTGTGTGTGTTATTTTTAACCCACATTAGATTATTGTAATGATTTTCCACAACTTTTATAGCATTACTGTTGACTTTTAATAGTTGTGGAACATATCCTAATTTTCCCCATAAGATCACATATTCATTATATGCGGATTCCTATTATGCCGTGTAGTCACAGAACGCAACCATAGCATAAAGCGAGGGTCGGGTGTACTGTACAGTATTGATGTACTTTTGGAAATTTCAAAATTGTGTATTAACCCGGTGCATTCCTCTCTTTTATTAGGTATTGTAAGCAGCGTGGAGCCCTCATAGTGGGAATCACCAACACTGTTGGATCATCTATCTGTCGAGAATCTCACTGTGGTGTGCACATCAACGCAGGTCCAGAGATTGGTGTTGCCTCGACTAAAGCTTACACGTCACAAATGATCTCGCTGGTTATGTTCGCCCTCATGATATCTGAAGACCGCATCTCTGCCCAACCTCGCCGCTCGGAAATTATCCAGGGCCTTAGAAAGTTACCAGAACAGATCAAGGAGGTAAATAAAAGCATTAATTGTTCTCATTACTATAAAATAAAATAAATATATCATACTGCATATGAATTAAATTAAGAATCTTACACTAGGCAGTTGCATTACAGTACAAAAATCAGATTACATCGTACTCTATTCTCATCTAGCATATACTTTATCATCATATTTCTCACTGTTGCACATGTGGTGTCTTTGTCAGCAGGATTGTTCACAGAAATAGCCTCCATAGTACATGGCCTGGTACACCTCTGCAAACACCACCTTATATACACTTCATCTCACAGTGATCTTATTCTGTCTCGTAATTTTACCTTTAGCTCTTTATATTTATTTCCTCTCAGATTACTCATGTACATAGTTGTCTCCATATCATTAAACAAGGTATACCATATTGTATACTGTACAGTATATTGAAATGTTTGACACTTAATGGGAAACTGTATTTATGCTTTTAAATCTTTTGAATGTCTGTTATAATGAAGGTTTAGTAATTTGTCTCCACCTCCAAGTACAATAAAAAAGTACCTAAAATTTTAGGTTTAAATGATACTTTATTTCACATTAATAAAATGGAATAAACTCCATTATTGAATCTCTTATCTCTGAACACTACTTCACTCATCCAGGGAGAACCCTTCTTGGGGGTTGGCCATGACGGAAGAGCCTCCAGGCTGCCCTATCCCTGCACACCTCCTTTAACATCCTTATTCCCCCCTGATGTGCTGTTCTACATTTCCCTCCCACAATGTTGGTGGCTTCCTCTACAGTACCCAGTGCCCCTGTACACCCCATTCATTATTCTCCACTCCTCCTCCATCCTTCTCACAGTCTCTCTACTGTGTCGCCCCAAACATCGTATACACTTCTGTTTCTTGCTCCTGTTCTGGTTACCTCTGATGGCTTAAACTTTTCAACCTTCTTCATTCCAAGTTATTGTTTCTCTGCCATAAGTTAAGGTAGGAAGTGTTTTACTATCAATAAGTTTCTTCTTCACCTCCAGGTTTACATTTATTTCATTGTTGATGCTCGTCAACCCTTCAGTTATTTTCTCTCGTGTACTGTATTGTTTTCTCTCTACTTTCACTCTGAAATACTTACCAAGCTCACTTAACATTACTCTTAAGTACTTCAGATTATTAATATCCATCAGTAACTCCTTCTTGATCAGGATTTTATAGTTCAGTTCACTTTGGTATCTGTTGTCTATGATTTACTACAGGGTGTTAGAACAGTTCTTTTGCACCTGTAATAATTAACACTATACTGTACAGCATATAGTTGTTCCTTGTTATACCTATATTGTTATACAGTCGTCCCTCGCCAACCGTGCAGGTTAGGTTCCATGATCGCCGATAACACACGTCAAGACCTAACTATGTGGCCTGTTCCTTCACAAAACAAGATTTACATTGTATATTTCATTAAATTTGAGTCAAATATATATAGAATAGAGTAATATAAATTAAATAGTAATATAAATTTAACAGTATAAGGAGTATTTACCTTCATGGAGGATGATGGTGGATGAGATGATGTGGAGGGAGAGGTTGTTGTTAATGGAAGACGGGACACAGGCCCACTCTCTCATGTGCCACCAGCAACACTAGCATAGCCTCGTTTACCCTCATGGCACTGACGCTACACTCTCGCCACGCATTAGTCTATCAAGCACTTCAACTTTCTTTTCTAGTCATTATGTTTCCTTTTCTCTTCACTTTATGCTCACCTTTATCACTAACACTCAGTGCACGCTTAGGGATCATAGTTAAAAGCAAAATTAATGTTATTACTCTAGAGAGTATGGAATAAACATCCAGTGTACAGAGCAATAAAATGCATCTGCACGGTATGGGATCACAACACTGACAGAGAGCGGTGGGAGGCTGGACGCTGCCCAGATGAATACATTGGAACATGGGTGGAAAATTACTCCGTGCTAAACCATGAATACTCAAAATTCAATACAGTAGGGTCAGGATATATTGCTAGATAGGGTCCAAGGATGTTCGCTATATACTAAATCGCGATATATAATTACATGTAATCAATGGGGAAAAATAGGGTTAGGTTCTGGAGGCCAATAAAAGTGACTAAATTTGACATAAAATAACACAGTCTAAAGTTAGCAGAATATAATTTGGATTGCTGGAATCTTTGCAAGACAGCAAATAATTTGAATATAGACATGGTATTTTTAGGAGTGTTTCTGACTTTATACAGTTTTTGGCTTTATGTGAGGTCCCAGGAACATAACCCAATTAAGTTGTGAGTCTACTGTAAATAAATTTATCGCTATATATTTGAAAAAAAAATTACTTTGGTAGTGATAAATTTGAAATATTTCCTGCCCGATTTCCCTTGCGAAAAAAAAAAATATTGCTATATATAGGATAATGTCAATAATTTTGGTAGCCGCAATATAAAAAATCGTTATGTAAAGTCGCGATATATCCCAACCCTACTGTACCGCTGTTGGTGAAATGGTATACTGTACAGAGTAAAAACCCTGGATACCCCAAATCTGCAGATAGAAAATCCGTGGTTGGCAAGGGACTACTGTATGCCATGTTCCACTTACAGTAAATATTGTAAATGGTATCCACATCCAACATTTACTGTGACCTTTTCCACTATTTACTGTAAGTAAAACAAGGTACAGTAAATAACTATATTTTTTATTATTGCTGTTGCACAGGAACATTTCTAACTCCCTGTACGTCTTATCCAGTGTCAAACTCTTTGCTTTCAAAAATAATAATTTTGTTTATCTTTATATCACACACCTTGTCCAAGTTACTCACCAAGTTTTGCTTTCCTGTTCTCTCTCCTTATAAACTATAGTCATCCATCTCCAGTCACCCTTACCTTTATTTCCCTAACCATTTTATCCATAAATACTGTAGACACAAACATCAATCACAAAACTTAACTTTTCTCCCAACAATCCCCACTTTCCTACAATGTTGGCATTACTCTTCCCTGCTTTGTCATTCATATTCTTAAAAACTATAGTTTTTCCATTTCTCTTTGGAGATGGTTATTTGACTTATACCTAAAATAATCACTAAACTTGCTCATAGGCAAGGCATCCAGCCATAAAACTTGCTTAAATTTTGCCTGGTGGCAACTGGGACACCATACCATCAGATAATCACAGCTAACCCATGCACACATGGAAAATGGCTTTCAAACAGTGATGATGATGATGTCTATCTACTGTACTGTGGCATTTACATACTTAGTGCATTCACAAACATCTTGTGTGCTCTTTAGGTTGGTGTTAGCAGAGGAAGCAAGGCAAAAATGTATATCACATGAGCATAAGTATGTGGTGCATTAGCCATAGTTGGAAACTAAAAGTGTGCCTCTCTATCTGTGAAAAACCAGGTATAACATTGTGTACCTGTCTGGTTAAATAGTTGTAGACATCATTAGAACTCAATTTCATGTACCTTAAGCTGTGTTTCACATTAATTCCAGTTGTGACCAAACATGGCCATGACTTCAACAGGTGGCCATACATATCTTGTGCAAAGTTACTGTAACAGGTTAATGAATATAAACAGTACCATATATTTTCCTTAAAAACAGAAGGACTTAGTCTTTTAGGAAAATATATGTTCTGTTCATATTCATTAACCTGGTAGAATATTCATGTTAAACTAATTATTATTGAAGACGGGTAGAGTAGGCCTTTATATGGAGTGAGGTAGAAATAGTTGTACCTAGAGTTTATAATTCCAAGGAATTTTATTGAGAATTTATATTTAATATGATTTTGTCGATTTGTTTTGTAATGGGAATCTGTGTATGTGTTTTTATATGTTATTTTTCTTTGGTAGGTATTAGCCTTGGACTCTAAGATCCAGGAGATCAGCAAGGAAGTGTTTGAGAAAATGTCACTGCTGGTGCTTGGCCGTGGCTACAATTATGCTACCTGTCTTGAAGGTGCACTGGTAAGTGGGATGGATATGGGGAAAAGGTTTCTTCATTCTTGTTTAAAGCTGATGAAATTATAAGGATTATATTATAACCAGTACAAGTTTGGTGAAGCTCTGAGTTCTTCAGTGTTTTTGAAGAGAATGATTATCAAGAAACTATAGATGATACAACTAGAGTTACTGTACTAAATTGGGACTAATATTTCACAAGAGGATGGCAGGAGATGGGGAAGACAGAAAGAGATTAAAAGGTGGGGTAAGGGATCCTCTGGAGAGACAGATGGACCTCCAGGAAGCAGTGGTACAGTATAATGTGAATGACAAGAAAGTAGGGTATTCAGCGGCTGTAGGGGACACCTAATATACCTAATGACCACCCACTAGAGGTGACCATGTCATACCTGTGTAGGATGTCTCCAATGTTCTTAATAATTGTGTATAGGGCTATTTTAAAGTCCAGTACTGTTCATGATTCCACAGCCTGAGCATATAACTTAGCGAGCTTGTAGTTTTGACCTCGGGTGTTGGTGGTGCATGACATCACAAAGAAATGTCCCGGGTTTATGTTTTCCATCCATTTCTTCCATGTTTCAATGAGATCTGGTCTATTGTGCCTTGTCTGAAGGGTTGTTAGTCCTCAGTCTGCTAGGATAATTGAGGTGACACAGTTCTGAATTATCTTAGTTGATCTGTGTTGCACCTTTTCTAGCACATATGTTTATTCTAACCTCTTTTTATGATAGTGAGTAAAGGTTAAAAAAGTATCGGTGAGGCATACGCTTATTACATCATTGAATGATCCAGGACTTCTATTTTCTTCTTTTTTTAATTAAATTTTTATTCCATGAAAAATTTCTTGGGAGAGGAAATTTTTTAATAGATTTGTATGCTTACATGTAAGGACTCAGGGAAAGATCTTGTTGATGATAGATTTATATGTGATAAATTTATCATATAATATATAGAACACTGACAAGAGAGGCCAAACTGTGAAACTCTTAATTTTTGTGTGAAAATGACTGGATAATGTTGGAAAAGAAACGGAAAGTGGAGGGACCAAACCTTCCACAATGGTGCTCCCAAGACCAACTGGCTCAGCAAACTCAAGTATTATAAAAGTTTAACACCAATAATCCTCTAGTGTACTCACTCACATACTAGTCTTCTTTTCCTGTGTAATTATCGTTGTAAAAATGCCTTACAGAAAATCAAGGAGATTACATACATGCACAGTGAAGGCATCATGGCTGGAGAACTGAAACATGGACCCCTTGCTCTGGTTGACAAAGGCATGCCCATCATCATGATCTGTACACGAGACAACGTCTTTGTGGTAAGTTTAGCATTTTTTCCCCTCCTCTTTTAATTATTTCCTCAGTTTGTAACTTTTATTTTAGGACTGTTTAGTGTTATTTCCTTTGATAATGGTTATTAGAAATAAATATTTTTCTTATATTTGCACATCTGGTAATACAGTAGGGTCGGGATATATAGCCACTTTATATAACGATTTTTTTTTATATCGCGGCTACCAAAATTATTGACATTATCCAATATACTGTATATAGCAATAATTTTTTTTCTTTATTTCACGAGGGAAATCGAGCAGCAAATATTTTAAATTTATCATTACTTCCAAATTTGTCGACATTTTCCAATATACAGGTATAGCAATAAATTTATTTACAGTAGACTCACAACTTACGTGGGGTTATGTGTCTGGGACCTCACATGAAGCCAAAAACTGTATAAAGTAAGAACACTCCTAAAAATACCTTAAATAGCCCAAAAAATACAAGTTGAAAATTTTTTTATCCCTTGTGCAAGATACTGTATATGATGTCTATTCAAATTATTCGCTGTCTTGCAAGGATTCCAGCAATGCAAGTTATATTCTGCTAACTTTAGACTGTGTTATTTTATGACAAGTTTAGTCACTCTTATTGGCCTCAAGAAACTAACCCTATTTTTCCCCATTGATTACATGTAATTATATATAGTGATTTAGTATACAGTTTTACCCCGCTTAACGCGCTTTCACTTAACGCTTTTTCGCATATACGCGGTGCCTTGCCAAAGCTAAACTTTCACTTAACGCGGCATTTTTCATCATATACGCGGTGAGTGTCTGGCTCGAGAGCTATTTTTAGATTCGCACCACCCCCCCACCCGCCACCCTGCCTGACTGCCTGTTTTAGCTCATAAAATTCATACAAATTACCCAACCAGAATATAATTTACATTGCTGGAATTCTTATAATTTGGTGATCATTTTGAATATAAACAACATATATTTTGCATTAAACATACAATTTTTAGATAAAAATATTTCTCAAGGTAACTATGTTATCTTTTGTCCAAAATATATGACATTTATATTCAAAATATTCCTGGTCTTACAAGGAATCCAGCAATGTCAATTATATTATCCTAACTTTAGTTTGAGGTATTATTTATTAAAATTTAGTGGTTATCCCACACATCTCCTTGGGACGGTTGGTGGGGGGTGGGGGGGAGGGAGGGACCGACCGACCGACCATCTGTTACCCCGTGAAGAATTATTTTTTTTTTTATTAACTGAAGATATTTGTTTTAGCTCATAAAATTCATACAAATTACCCGGTCAGAATATAATTTACATTGCTGGAATTCTTATAATTTGGTGATCATTTTGAATATAAACAACATATATTTTGCATTAAACATACAATTTTTAGATAAAAATTGTTCTCTAGGTAACTATGTTATCTTTTGTCCAAAATATATGACATTTATATTCAAAATATTCCTGGTCTTACAAGGAATCCAGCAATGTCAATTATATTATCCTAACTTTAATCTGAGGTATTATTTAATACTAAATGTTATAAACTCTGGAAGGGAGGATTGGTGGGGGGTGGGGGGAGGGTTGGGACTGACCACGCGGTTGGAAGAGGGGGGAAGGCAAGGTGGGGTACTTTGATTGACAGATAGTGTCGAAGAATATTTTTTTTTTTTTATTAACTGAAGATATTTGTTTTAGCTCATAAAATTCATACAAATTATCCGGCCAGAATATAATTTACATTGCTGGAATTCTTACAATTTGCTGATCATTTTGAATATAAACATCATAGATTTTGCATTAGACATACAAATTTTTGATGTAAAGTTTATTCTGAGTAAATATGTTATCTTTTGTGAAAAATATGACATTTATATTCAAAATATTCCTGGTCTTACAAGGAATCCAGCAATGTCAATTATATTATCCTAACTTTAGTTTGAGGAATTATTTATTACTATACCTGGTTTTCCCCCAAAAATTTCTCAGAGGGAAGAGCCAGTGAGTGTAGTGTGAGAAGAGGGGGAGGGAGTTGAGTCCATTATTTGAATGGACATTAACTTGGCGACTGTATTTCTCTATTTCTCTTAAGTATTAATTGTGTGCATGTACCATCATAAAATTAAGATGTTATTTTTACTACAACATAGTTATTTGTCGTCAAAAAGTGGAGTTTGGGGGTCGGGCTGGGTTCTATTGGAATTAATCCCATATGTTCTGTTATTCACTTAACGCGGTTTTCACTTAATGCGGGACCCTCTGGGTTCAATTGACCGCGTTAAGTGGGGTACAACTGTACAGTGGTTCTTCGGTTAACGAGCACAATTCGTTCCAGCAGGTTGCTCGTTAACCGAAAACTCATTAACCGAAACCATTGTTTCAATGGGTTTTTGGGTAATTGGTTCCAGCTCACCGAAAATTGCCTAAATTCAACAAAAAAGGTAGAAAAGTACACTTACTATGAGGTGTGTATGTAGAAGGCTCCTGGATGATGATGATGGGAATTAGAATGGTGGCGGAGGAGAAGGGAGAAGAGAAGGCATTTTGGTGGAAGAGAAGTCACCCCATGGCACCATTTCACCCATAAAATTTTAGTTCTCTTGGTGTAATTCAAGATTATTTTCTTTAAATCAACACTGCACTGCATTATATATTGTCAATATGTAAAATAAATTTCAAAATGACCAATAATTTGCTTGGAAACAGAAAAAAGCGTTTAGTTGAAGAGAGTCTCAAGCAAGATGTTACCTCCACTGAAAACAGAGAGAGACTAACGCCTGTCTGGTGTGTTAACAGGCTGGATGGCACGCCAGAAACTAGTTTCTTTACCTTCAATTATGTTCAATAATTGTTAAAATGACTAAAAAAGTTAATATTAAACTTTTAAAATTATTGAATAGTATAAACTTCTTGATATTTACTAAAATAGTAAGGAATTTAAGCCCTAAAACCGATTACTGTATTGGCGGACTAATACTACAGCTGGTGGACCGCCAAATGCAAGCGAAAACATGTTGAAGTCGGCTCGTAAAAAACTCGTTAATTGAGGGATTGCTCGTTAACCGAAGTTAAGAATCTTATGGAAGGTAAATCGTTAACCGAGGCGCTCGTTAACCGAGGGATCACTGTATAGCGAACATCCTTGGACCCTACCTAGCGATACATCCCGACCCTACTGTATGTTTACTGTATAAGAAATAGCCAAATGGAACACTTCCTTACATTGCAAGTAGTAATCTCCCTGTTAGCCGGAATATTTGGTGCAGAGCTGTTCCTTGGTTGAGAGATTTCCAGGTATGGAGACAAATTTTCTCATCCCCGTAATTTTTCCGGGTACTAAGGAAAACACTACTGTACACATACAATATATATTAAATAAACAAACTATAGCTTCTACTGTATACACTATACAGTGAACCCTCGAAGATCAGGACTAAAAGGGTGGACCACCTGTCCGGAAAAGCCTATTGTCAGAATCTTCCGGTGAATGAACTAAATGTATAAAAACGATAAATAATGATATAAAACACACCAAAAATACAGTACATATTATCCTGACCACTGGGGTTAGTTATACTGACTTTTACCTGTGAAAAAGCCATAATTTTGACCAATATATTACTGTACTCACTTTGTACTCAAATGTACTACACTAAAGGACTAAAATTTTTATCTCTTGAGCAAAATATATAATGTCTCTATTCAAATTATTCGTTGTCTTGCAAGGTTTCCAGCAATGTAAGTTCTATTCTGCTAAGTTTAGTCTGTGACATTTTATAAGATAAAAACTTTAAGCTTAAATATACCTTCACTCTGCTTTGGGAATGCTTCTTTGGGAGGCTTCTTAACCCAGAACCCCAAATTTTTTGTCCGAATCTTCAGAAATCCGGATTTACCGGGTCAAGGTCTTCAAGGGTTTACTCTACTGTACTCCCTAGCAGATGCTGTCATCTTGAGCTTGTGAAGCAGGCAGACTAAATGGTGACAATACAGGATGGCCTACCTTTATCCTGTACCATCTACTGCAGCAGGTGTTGCTGACTGTCACTCTCCTCTCCCTCCATGAAGGAGGGATTGTACTTGAGCTGTATACTGTACTCATACATGATAATAATGGTTGCCCCTTGTGTACGAGGATGGCCGGCCCAAGGGCCACCTAGGCATGAATTTGTTTAAGGTGTAGAAGCTGTCGCCAACACAACAACCAAACCCTGAGTTAACGAGTTGCATGACCCAGTGTCAAGGAAGTGTCATAGAAGACCTGACAACTCACCAACTGCACTGGCTAACCATTACCCCGGAACACGATCTGCAAATCGATTAACATCCAGGTTCCAAATTACTGTTGAGTAGACAGAGGCAAATGGCATAAAGAAATGCCTATAGTTCAACCTGCCCAGGAATTGAACCCGGGACCACTCTCTTGAGAGATGAGCATGCTAACCATTACATCACAGGGTGCCACTGTACATACACCTCTACACACTAGCCTACAGTAGGCATACACTGTCCACTCCACTCTGCTATGTACAGTACATGCACAGTAGAACGTTGATATAACACTAGGTAGGTTCCAAGAGAGGTCGCTTTAAACCAAATTTGCACTAAATCCAAGTGTTGTTTCAATGGAATAATTTAGTTTGGTACTTGAGAGAAACACAAAATACTAAAAAGACTGAGAGTCTACCCAGATGTACCTCAGCCCATCTCCTAGAATAAACAAAACATTGTTTTTTGTAGTATTATGTTAAAACAAACACTCATAAATCAACACAGCTAAAATTAAGGGATGCAAAATGGTCTGTTTACTGGCTGGGAAGATGGGGGGGGGGGTTGATGTGTTTGACAGTTGATGCCAAGGTCTAGTGCTTATTTATTTATCTTACCTTTAGAGTGACTTTAAGTTTTTCTCTTATAAAATGTCACTGAATTGACATGGGAGAATATAATTAACATTGCTGGAATTCTTATAAGATACAGTAGTGATTACCGGGTAGTTTGAGTATAAACATGCTATAGCTCACATTACACATACAAATTTTTGTTCTAATTTAAGAATTTTATTACAAAGAGCTAATTTTTTTATCTCTTGTGCAAAATATATGACTTTTATATTCAGATTAATCGCTGTCTTGCAAGGATTCCAACAATACAAATTACATTCTCCTAACTTTAGTCTGTGACATTATATAAGATAAAAACTGTAAGCCTAAAACACCAAACCCTGGCTGGGAAGATGGGGGGGAGGGAGGGAGGGGGGAGGGGAGGTGACAGTGACATGTTTGACAGTTGGCGCAGAAGGTCTAGTGAAGTATTTATTTGTTTATTTTTGTCCTTTAGTTTGAATTCATGTTTTGTGGTTATAAAATGTCACAGAAGTGACCGGGGAGAATTTAATTTACATTGCTGGAATTCTTATAAGATAGTGATTAATTTTAATATAAACATGCTATAGTTTGCACTAGACAAAAATTTTAGTAATCATTAGTACATTATTTTGAGTACACGTACAGTACAGCTTTGTCCTTAGGACAGTGTGGCTTGCCCAGAGAAACATTAGGTGCCAAATTTTTAATATTATGCGCCAGATTGACTCGCGCAAAATTGGAAAGATTCGCTTTAAATTAAAACATTGTCCTTAATTGTGGGTGTCGCTGTAAATCAATAATCTTAAATTAAATCGCTTTAAATTGACGTTCTACTGTACTGTACATATGATACCTTCACACTTACTGAATGTACACTGTACAGTATAATATAAGTAACTCTAATCACTTTTTATGTCTTTACACTGTACGCACCATTGTAGGGAAGGGAGTTATTTATTTGACTTTCTTTTGTTTCAAATTTTTTAGACTTTCTTTTCTTTATTTCTTTATACTTGTTTCATGTTTTATTTTCTACTTCAACTTCTCTAAGTACTTCCTTCTTTCAGTTTCTTAATTACTTTATTTATTCCTTCTGTTATCTATTTCTTAGGTATTATACGTCTTATACAGATAACCTTTAACCTCTTAAACATGTGTTAGCGTGGCAAGGTCTAGGACACGTAGATTCAGTTATATTTTATGGTACCAAGATAATGGGAAGGAACATAGGTAATACTGCAAGGATAATCATACCCCAACATACAACGCAGATGATTTATTAAAATGTAGTTGTGTACCTGACACTTTACCTGAACATACACACATGAACCACTCCTTGGGGTTCACTCAACACTTGACCAAATTTACGTTAACACTGATACAAATTACAAAGACCACTTGGTCTTACTTCAATGTCACCCAAACAAGTATTACGTTAACAGGACCAATGTTCAGTCAAAATTACTGTAGGTTACGGGTAACATTCTATGACAGAGACACACAACAAAGATTGGTCGTCAGTCCTTCAATTACATTACTACTTACACTAACACAGCATAGCCCTTATCAACCCGCCACAAGATTGTTATTCGTGTACAGTAATTATTATTATTCTCAATCCTGGGGATGCAGGTTACTCTTGCACACACAGTTATACTGTACCTGTTAACACTCATTACATCACAGGATACATTGGTATTCACTCTCTCGGTGGGAATAAGATACATGAGACAGAACAAGTTACAATATACAGACAGGATGTAACCACAGGCTTATGCCACTTGTATTCAAATCACATGCCGGGCGTGTACACTCCGTGACGCTGCAGCTAGGCTCTGCCCCATCGTGGGTTCTTCCCATGCCTCACGGACACGGCTGCACCCATAGGCCTATGACTCTCTTTGGGCACCATCAACTCAAGATCTTAATCTCGGTGTATTAAAGACATCCTATTTCAGACATCCTCTCTTCCAGTGGCCACCACCTCTTGGCAGCTCCAGCAACACACACAGTGCCTGGTTGACGAGGAAAGAGCGTTCAGAATGACATAAAATCAAAATACAAATGTCACAAAACACGTCTTGTGCAAGGAAACAGCTGGTGCATGAACACACTTACTTAGCACATAAGACATCAGTTACATTATCAGAAACACTGACATATTCAACACAATTCAACGAAGTCAAATTCACTCAATGTGACGGAGAGACACTGTGTAATGTACCTGGTTGACGAGGGAAGGACATTCAGAATGAACTATTCAAACTGCACACTGTTTCATACACCTGGTGTTACCATCACCAATGCTTTACATACATATTCATTGTTCTCAGTTATGGTGCACCTTGGGCTGTGAAAATTAGGCTATAGGCTTATATTAATTTCCTAAGGTTAACTTTTATAATCTAATCAGTGTGTGAGCTTTGCACTGCAAGAATTTAATTGATGTCAAGTACATAGGAGGGCAGTCACACTGTGGGCAGAGTCACAAACCACAACAACTGGCCTACTCACAAATATCGTGTTACAATTTAATGTCTTACTACCATTGACAGGCTCTGCCCTCAAGATTAATGAGATTCTTTAATACAAAAATGACAATAATTTCAATGCACTCATCAGAATCTCTGAGGTCTGTAACTCAAGGAATACAACTTCAGTTTTGAATTGTTATCTCGTACTTCATGAAAGCAACCACAATGATTACAGCTGTTTACTTGGCAGCCAAAACACATCGTCTTAACACTATTTACACTACACACAAAGATAGATGAAGCCTTCAACTTATACTCAATACATCTTGAATGCTTCAGCTCACCATAGGTTTATCTGACTTACAGCTACTCCTACAAGTTACATCATAACTTTAAATTTACACTGCACAGCACTTCAGGAAATATATAAAATGGATGGTTCCTCTCACTAGAGAAAACATACACTGGTTGATTACGAGTTGATAATTTTTATAATGGTTGGGACTGGGTTGTTCTTATGTTCTTATAGTGTGTGTGTGTGTGTGTGTGTGTGTGTGCGTGCGTGCGTGCGTGCGTGCGTGCGTGTGTGCGTGCGTGCGTGTGTGCGTGCGTGTGATACATTTAAAGAAATAATTGTCCTAAGGGCAAACACATAAATGGAATATACATTTCTTTGTACAAAATTAAAATGTAACCCTCCTCCCCTTGTCAGCAAATTTTATTCGTGCATTTGGCGATTCGTGGCCATTTTGAGAACTTAACCCTCACAAATTTGAAGGCCTACTGTTGTGTTGTCTTTTTGTGTGTCTTTGTTACAAAAAAGTGTCATAATTAAGGTTGGGGGAGCTCCAAAAATGATTGTGGAACACATACCCATTTCCCCCATAAGATTAAGAATTCACTTTATGCTATTTTGAGTTAGGTGAGGTTTTTGCATAATGTAACCCTCGTGTAAAGAGAGGGTCAGGTGTACTGCACAACACAGATCATATGCAAAAACAGGAGAGTGAGTTAACAAGCTTAAACAATAGCAGCAGACAATGAACTAAGAGTGTCATGATGCAAGAGTTTGAGGAGATAGGCTGTGAGATACATCAGCCAATCATAGGCATCCCATGCAGTCACTTGACAGTAGTGACCAATTGTAGCTCACAAGCACTCTGAGCCTACCCATCCACATTCCTAGCATGAGTCCCTGCAATGGAAGCATGATGCAATCTCTTGGAAACTCATTCCCATGCCTGGAATGGAGAAATTTTTCCTGAAATTGTTTGGAATGCAAAAAAAAAAAAAAAAAAATCCCAATTATTGGAGAGTTTCGGGGAATGAAGATTCCATCTAGCAGAAAGATTATCATAAAGATTTATTTTGAACATTGCAAAATAGATACACACACACACACACACCTGACCAACACACACACCTGACCAACACATTCAGTGATTCACACCCCCCCCCCTCCAGTCTCACACACTTATACCCAAACACACCCACTCACTTACACTCCCCTCTTCCCATCTGCACCCACTTAGATCCATCTACACACCTGTATGTCCACCCATATTTGCCCATCCACACACACACACACACACACACACATACACACATGTATTCAGGCTCAATGCAATATATATTATAGACTTAATGTGTTGATGTTGTTATACACCAATTAAAAATTTTTATATTTTCCTTAGAAATGCATGAACGCTCTACAACAAGTAACTGCTCGTGAAGGCCGGCCAATTGTCATCTCCAATAAAGGTGACCAAGAACTTGAGAAATTTGCCTCCAATATCCTAGAGGTTCCCAGGACTGTGGACTGTCTTCAAGGTCTCCTTACTGTCATTCCCTTGCAGCTCATCTCCTACCATATTGCTGTTCTTAGAGGATGTAATGTTGACTGTCCACGAAACTTGGCAAAGTCCGTCACAGTTGAATAAAGTGGCACCTTTGTTGATTCCTGCATGCCCCTTGGACATGCTGTACAGTTTATTTGCATATTTATTTGTTCAATATAATGATACCATAATATAATGTGCTCTAAATTAATGAAAATACTTAAAATGATGGTGTGTATAAAATTCTAAAATATAAAGAAAATTATGTTTTTGGGATGTTAAAGAAACTGTACACAAGTTCAGTCAGCATGCAGTACCTGTCTGTGATTGCTTTCCTTTAATCATTTTTATGATCACTGTCTAAACTATTCTAAATGGATTTTAGCTCTCTGGACCAATGTCACTTGTGTTTTATGATTCTCATTTTATCTTCGCTTGTCTGTTACCCAGTAATACTTCCAGAAAATTGCTACCAATAGTATTATCAACTTGTCAATCTCATCAAAATTTCCAGTATGTCATTTGTCTTTGAGTGAAGAAGAGGCCCCCATGTGGGCCTTTCCTATACATTCCAGTCAGTGAATTATTGGTTTGGTTTTCTTCCATTTTTTTACTTGATATGTTTGGCTAGAAGGGGACACTTTGAGTTGATGATACATGAAGCATGCAACTTGAGTCAGAGAATATATGAAAATTTTTACCCTGCTGGGCAATTTTTTTTATTGTACAAAGAATTAAAATTATGCCCACAGTAATATTTTGTAAATATATATTTATTGCTACCTTTATTGCATAATTCTTTTAAAAGAATGTAAAAAGTTTATCAAGAGTTACTCTCATGATTCTATTGGTTCATAATATAAGATGCTGTACTTCACAGATCTTTAAAGTGTGCGGTACAGTACAGTACTGTACAATACATCAAACTGACACAGCCGTGCATATAAACTCTTGTGATACTCGATAACTTTTTACTCATTGTAGTAACTGACTCTTGCACACTCTATGGTTCATCAGAAATTAATAATGGTAAATTTCATTTCTGTAAGATGAGGTAAAATTTTTTATGTTTATTTCAAATTATATAATGATGATAATTTTGGACTGTTTTGAATTAATTGAAGTTATGGAGTTTTTGTTTTTTATCTCGACCAATACTTCCATTGTGTGTAAATTACACATAGTATTGTACAAAATATAAAATCTATCATATAGACAAAGAAAAAACATTCCTGACAGTGTCATCAAGGATGCTGTTGTTATGGGTGGAACATAAACAGTGATATACTGTACAGCATTTAAGGTAATTTCCTTTATATCAAGGATGCTGTTAGATCAGTTTATAAAAATAAATAAAAACTTGTACTTTAGACTTCATTGTAAATGGGAATGGAAATAAACCTGAATTTTCATCGACTTCTTTATATTCCATACAAGTAGGGAGATATTTTGTTTTATTGGAGTAAATTTTTTTAGAAAGTATTTGTACTTTATTTTTAACAACTTTTAATCTGGCTCACCATAAGTTGATCCTAGTCTTTTAGGACTACTGGCTGGTCTGGTACAACAATAAAGTACAGTGGTCCCTCGGTTAACGAACTCAATTCGTTCCAGAGGGTCGTTAGTTATCCGAAACCATTGTTTCAATAGGATATTGGGTAATTGGTTCCTGCTCACAGAAAAGTATATACAAAGTAAAGCCAAAAATGCATAAAGTCAGAAACACTCCTAAAATTCCCCTAAATCGCCCTTAAATCACTATATATATATATATATATATATATATATATATATATATATATATATATATATATATATATATATATATATATATATATATATATATATATATATATATGTGTGTAACCGGTCGGAAATACTGGACTTTAATTTCTCACTTGACTTGGGGTTTATTAAAGATTATTAGATGGTAATTGCAGTGGAAGCGCCCCTTTGAGAGAAATCCCGAACCAGCACAAGAACACTTAAATTTACTAAACAAAATGAATTGTCCGTGACCCGTGGAAGGATAGCGTCTGTGACTGGGATGAATGAGACACTTATATTCCCTCCAACACTACAAACACAATCAAATAATGGTACACCAATATGCGCACCTCTTAACCTGAACTTAAAATACTACTCTGGGGAATAAAAGTTATACATGATGTTGAAATTATTAGAAACTCAGGCAATGCCTCATTAGAGAACAATAAGTTTAAAGTATTAAGAAATGTTGCTTGCACACATGAAACAGGCCTTAAGGGCATTCAACAAAATAATATCCAGCACTGAGAAAATGGTATTAAAAAAATAAGAAATTAATAACTCTACAATGAATAGGCCTTAAGGGCATTCAACAAAATTATATCACCCCAACAGATGCACACTTCCTAACCTAACTTAACCACTACTCTGGGGAACAAAGGTTATACCTGAGATCGGAATTATAAAGAAAAATTAGATGCATTAAATGAATTAAATCACAGTATCACTCTGGTTTCACTTAGTGACACAAACATTCAAAAAACAATACTATCAAAATCATTTAGGAACTATTACTACACACGTCAAGATAATATCAGTAACTGAAAAATCGTTTTAACTACACAAAAATATTGTCACTATTATTGAGATGTTACTGGGTCCACCAATACCCGTGAACCATGCTCCACCCAACTCAACATACACCCGTAATAAGGGAGATGAAATGTTCCTCTAGGTATCCCCTAGACTCCTGGTCTCAGTGTGTGACCATTTATTTACTCAGATAGCCTCAGTGTACTCTCAGTGCGTCCATGGGCAGGAAGAGAGAACGCCCGCAGGTGACCATGGCCAGTAGGTAATACTTCTAGCTGACCGAGGGCACGTGGTGTTGTGCACCCACGTGGTAAGAACTGATCAGCCAATGCTGATGCTGGTCCCGTGTCGTTTTAGTTGTCGGGAGCACTCGTTCACTCAAGAGATCCTTTGCTACCCCGCTAACCAGTGACAAGCCTGCACTGATCGTTCCAACGGCGACAATCGCCAAGCCTCAATCATCAACGGCAGTCTCAAACGGCAGTCAATCTCTCGCAGTCAAGTGGGTTCTGACGGAAACCCTGAAATTGACTCACTGTTAGCTCTTAATAACTTTATCACTGCCCTATCTAACCCCTAACTGAGATCGAATGAGACTTACTTGTTATACTGCAATAGCGCAACACAGGTGACTAGACCACGTGACTATTTCTGTGGACGGACGCGCAGGGACGTCCTGTAGGTCCGATCGCTTTCACGTGACTGAGGACCAGCCAGCCTCGCGTCTCTCCAAGGCGCTAGCTTAGGCCTAGTGACATATTTTCTGCCTAACTAATAACTTTCTTGGGACACCCGTAACATTATTCAGACTGGTAAACGATCTATAATAATTTCAAATTCAATAATAGTCCCTTAACTTCATGAATCGCATCATTATTAATTCAGTAAACTACATTCAATATCGTATAGGCCTAGTTCCACAAACTCTCGCACGTAGCGGGAGTGCGGTCTTCCCTCAGACGACCTTGAACTCGGCATCGCCAATGGCGCGGCGTTTGAAATTACACTGAAGTTTCTGAATATTACAATCGACCCCTCTAAAAAAAGACAGCACTGTCCTCATGTGCTGAGAAAAACATGCATACGACCCCCTAAAAAAATTGTTCTAAGAACTTCACGTCACACCTGCAACGTGCTAAACGCAGCCACGTATCTAGCCACTCCAAACACCTGTGCAGTGTGAATAAGGACGTAAACTTGACCTTCTTCCCTCTGAACGTGACTTCACTTATTCAGCCACTAGATCAAGGTGTTATTGCCTTGTTCAAGAAATATTATCTCAAGAATACCATGAGGCAAATGGCTGAAGCTATGAACAAGGACAACAATATGACTGCAGCAACGTTTTGGAAGAGCTACACCATCAAAGATGCCATAACTAACATCAAACTTGCGTGGAAAAGTGTGCCAGAAACTGCACTAAATGGAGTGTGGCATAATCTGTGGCCTGAGACAGTCCATGATTTCAAGGGCTTTGATGAAGGCGAGAACGCGAAAGACATTATGAAGCTCGTTAAGGAAGTGAGAGGCGATTCAGGATTTCAAGAAATCCAAGAAGAGGATGCGACTGAACTGCTTGTTAGCATGGAGGATCCTCTCGCTTCTGAATAAGTCTTGGAGATGGCGGAGATGGCGAAAAACACGAGGAAGAAGAGGAAGCGACAGATAAGCCCCAACAGTGGGGAAGGAACTAACAATTCCTAAGCTGAGGGAGTTTATGCAGCACGTCACTTCTGCCACCACTGCAACAGGACCCTGATATGGAACGCAGTATGCCAGTGGTGGAGGCGTTGAATCCGGCTGCATCTACATACTCTCAGCTGCTAGATCAACTGATTATGGCCCAGCAACAGAAGTAAATCACCTCATTCTTCTGTCCATTATCCTCATCGGGTGAGTTTGTTATGAAACTGTGTTTTATGAATCTGAGTGTTTATTGCTTGGAAAAATAGACATTAAATTTTGGGTATATGATATGTAATAATAATGTGGTAGAAATTCAATAATATAATGAATGTTTTCCATTCCTTCACCTCCTGAGGTAGCTGGCCCATCTACGTCATCCAGTGCTTCCCGCGTGTCAGATGTATCAACAGCCACACCACTAGACGGTGATGTGGATGATGAGCTGGTCGAGTTGGGCTCTGCATCTTCAGAGGGTGAATTGCCTAACTAAAGGTGATTGAAAATCTATTTTTGATATTAAGTAATTAAAAAATAAGTTGAGGAGAGTGAGTCAGACGAGAGGTGGGTGGAGCACGTCACCAGCCTCCCCCATCAGCTGATCGCTAGTAAACAGACCATTTTGCATCCAGTAATTTTAGCTGTGTTGATTTATGAGTGTTTGTTTTAGCATAATACTACAGCCTGTACAAAACAATGTTTTGTTTATTCTAGGAGATGGGCTGAGGTGCATCTGGGTGTATACTCTCAGTCGGGGAGGGCCAGTGGCCCGAGGCAGCAGACGGTACTACACAGTAACAGTACCGTCCAGCTCTCAACTCGGCAGCAGGGAGTGCTTGCTGCATATATATCATTACACCATATACTTTTCTCATATTTACTAGTTAATAAAAGTCTTTGTTAGTATTTTGTGTTTCTCTCAAGTACCAAACTAAATTATTCCATTGAAACAAAACTTCAATTTAGTGCGAATTTGGTTTTAAGCAACCTTTTTTGGAATGTATCTCGCGTTAAATCGATGTCATGCGCCGGTTAACGTCCTAGATACGTTCTTGGAAACGTGACGTTAACCGAAATGGACGTTGTCCGATCATCACATAAACTTTGTATTTATACTTACGTGCATGTGGAATATTATATACGTATACTGTATATACACTTTTACTCTTAAATCACTACTGTAATGTGATACAGGTGATTAATTTTTATCTCTTGCGCAAAATACATCACGTTTATATTAAAATTATTCACGGTTTTACAAGGATTCCAGCAACGCTGGGCAGTTGGGGGAGAGGGAGGTAGTATGTTTGACAGTTGGCACCGACCCAAGGTCTAACGAGTGTACCTGTAGGCTATATTTATCAGTTCTAAAATGACTAAGCTTCTCTCTTATAAAAAGACAGTGACTTGACCTGGGTGAATATAATTAACATTGTTGGGATTCTTGTAAGATACTGATTAATTTGAGTATAAACATGCTATAATTTGCACTAGACATAACAATTTTAGTACCGTAATCAAATTAGTACATGTGCACTCCAGCTTTGCACTAAGGTCATTTATTTCTTTTACGTTTCTTTTAGTATGGTGTGTGCATGTAAATGGATGAAAATAAATGAAGAAATTTATGTAAATCTACCCAAAAATACAGTTGAAAAAATTTATATTATGAATGTACTACAGTATTGTACACTAATGTACTACATTGTTTATATCTTGAGCAAAATATATAACGCTTATATTTAAATTAATCTCTGTCTTGCAAGGATTTCAGCAATGCAAATTATATTATCCTAACTTTAGTCTGAGATATTATATAATATAAACATAAAAGAAATCACCAATCTTTTGTCTGGGAACACAAGGAGGGAGGTAGCCATGAGCATGTGGGAAGAGGAGGGGAGGGGGTGGGAGGTGAGGTTGTCATGGTCACGTTGACTGCTGATCTATTTAACTAATGATTCTTATTAAACTCCACGCCCGCAAAACATGAGTGAGTTAGCGACCCCTAGAAGGAGCGTGTTTACCCTCGCGATCCCTCCCAGTAAGCCCCGCCTTTGTGAAGACAGTTATCAATACGTTGTTTATTCCACTTTCTCCTGGGAAGCTCAATCTTGAATTAGTCTGTGTAAATCAACCCAAGTAATTC